GATAAAGTGGTGACAGGAGGTACTTCGCTTGCATCCGGAATGTCTTCCTGGTGTACCCTCATGATTGATCCAGTTCATTTTAGAGATGTCTGTGAGAGAGCAGAATCAAGCACAGACTATTGTGATTAAAAAGAAGGACTCTGTCATAAATTCTAATGTGGTGAAGAGAGAGTTGTTTGCCTTACGAGGAGTCAGGACATCTTTCAAAACAGTTTTGTGCAAAACTATGACACGAAGGTCCCCTTCTACAGTTAGAAACCCCTCTGCTCTTCCCTTCATTCAAAGGAGGTCAAACACTCCTCTGAAGGGATTTTGTAAGACAAACTGCAAATGCTTTAGGACACTTTTATTGTTACTGTTCTCTACAGGCAGTATGGTCTGATTAGAATAAAGGTTTTGTTTGGCCTATGTTAAATGGGAGTTTGCTGCATACCTGCAGTTTCCAAATCTACCAAACCTAGAGATAATTATAGACATGGTAAAAAAAAGTCACATTTATTAAAGTCTAAATGAAACATTTTAAAATCCCTCCTTCTCCCTCCTTTTTTTTCTTTCTATTTTAAATGTCCTTTGTCAGCAGGGTGTTGTAGAAGAGTTAACAATAAGCATACAAGTATCCTTAGATATTTTTTCCAAGTGTTACTGGTTTGCCTGTTTGTGTAAGAACTATATGTACTGGTGCATATCCCTGTGGGGACCTTCTGAGTGTGAGAGTAGTCCTAATATGTCAGGGCCAGAACTGGCTCTCAAAATCAGGGCATTGCCTCTTTACTATACGAATGTCTTTCTTGTAGAAGGTTAAATTAATTTATTTAATTCTAAATTACCATATAGTGTTGTAAGATGTATGATGAGACATCATTTATGTAATAAGATTGTTGTTTGTTGATTTTAATAGCCTTCAGGATGGCTAACTTGAAAATGAGAGAAATGCATTGATTAAGATTGTTATCAAATAGAATTATATAAAGATTTCGGTAGGAAGCAAGAACAGGGAATATTAGTTCTTAAAACAGTTCCTGCAGCTGTTATTAATCATACAGATAATGCATAATGTAAGATCATTACATAAGATCCCTTGGTTTAAAGTTGCCCTTAAAATGTGCAATTTGAATCTGAAAATGAAACTTTCATCTGAGGCAGTGGCAGTGTTATCATCTAAGAGCTGCTGAAGACTCTTCAGCAAGATAAGGGAGGGAAGCGGATGGAGCTTGGAGCCAGCTCTCCCACCCACATTGCCTGTGGACAATTTGTTGAAACCAATTTCCAGATTTCAGTAGAAGCTGCTCAGCAGCCTGCAGTGCTGGAGGTTCCTCAGGGCCCCTTGCTGTTTGAGGCTGGTGAACAGGGGACAGCAAGTCCAAGGTGGATGACCTTAAACAGGGGTCAACAAATCAGCTGTTGGTAATGAAGGAGTGTGAAAATACCTAAGCCTCACTGAAAATAGTATCAAACTGCTGTATATTCATTTTTTTAAATCTAAAAAACGCATTTCTTGTATTCCCAGGCAACACATTATCAAAAAGACTGCAGGCAAAAATCTCTGCTTTAGTATAAATTGTAGGTATACAGGTTGACAGCGATTGCCATCTTGTGTACAGTGATGTTCCTTGAAATGCATAATACCTACTCTGACTCAATTACAGCTGCCATAAAACTTTCAAATAATGTGAGCACCTTGCATGAGGGCCTACTTTACTTAATAAAAATAGAGTTATGCTCTTTATAATTAAACTAGCAAGCAAGACAGTGTGATTGGCTTGGTAACTGTGAATGTGAGTCTTGGAAGGTAAGTGCCCTCTAGGGATTTTTGTTAGCAAGTTCTGCCAAGTATTGCGAGATATGGGAAGAAGGGTTAATTGATAGCTTAATTAAATCTCTTTTCTTAATATAAAGTAGTTCGTTTGATATACCTTGCAGATGCAGTATACAATACTACTTTTTGTGATAGCTAGTTTCTTCTCTTGTACTATTTAAATAGCATGTTAATTTTAAAAGTCAGTCTCTGCTGCCATCATTCACTTTTTTTTTTTTTTTTTGGTTTGGTTGGGGTTTTTTGTTTGTTTGTTTTGTTTTGGGTTTTGTTGTTTGTTTTTCTTTTTTAGGGCTCATAATCCCATATAATAAGTAGCTCATGTAGCACAACATTATCTTTTAGGTACTAAAGTTCTTTAAATAGCATACAACCTTGTAACTCCAGATTAGTATTTCTAAGTATTAACTATAATATTAATGAATTAATTTTCTTATGAGAAAGGAAAAGCAGTTCTTAAAAAAATCACAAAGTTAGGACCTTCCTGCTTTCTCCCTTCTGAAGCATATGTAAGGACAGCATTTATAAGATCCATTTAGCCAAACTGATGAGCAACTGGCAGTGCTGGCTTGTGCATACAGGGGGAGCAGCCCTCCAGGATCACTGCTTCTTCTGCACACCTACATACGTGTGTTCACTTTCCTTGCCCATCAGTCAAGTGGTCTCTGTGGCCCTCTTAACTCCCTTGCTCTCCAGCACTAAGCATTCCTGTGGGATACATGGTTTGAAGTTGCAGAGTCAAACACGCAAACCAATGGAGATCTCGGCCCTGTCACCAGGGGTGGTTGCAGGGAGACTCCTCCTTGGAGAGGCAGCCACAGCATGGGATGCAGCTTCACTGAAGTTGCTGTGGATCAGAAGGCCACATGTCAGGTGACTGGCTGCAGCTAAATGCTTCCTGGTGTGTTGGGGGAAGACATGGTATGCTGTGTTCATTCATGGGACTGGGCTATCTGTGTGGCCTTGTTCAAGGAGAAGGTAGAAGTTCACCTCTCTGAAAGGTGGGGATATAAGCTATCCAAAGATTTGGTATGACACTGTTTTGCCTCACTTATGCTGTCTTGTGCCTATAAAATTGAAATGTTTTGGGTTCCTTCCTTAATAAAGTTATTTGGCAAATGTAGGTCTACTAATCCTGGAAATACAAAGTGCCCAGTTCCCGCTTGAGTCATAATAGTTTTTCTTTTAATTTTAAGGAGTGAACAAGACTCTGGGGTTGATGTATCTCTATTGAGAACATCTCTGTTAATAATGTTTATTATGAGTAAAGCATCATTTTGGAAGTCTGCCATCATTGTTTTAGAAGCAGCATACAGACAAGAGTGGATGTAGTTTAATCACAGTGAGCTTAAAGGATCCTGCAATGGTCCAAATATGTAGTGCTTGCTCCAGTTCCTTCTGGAGTGTAGACCTTTCTAAGTCTAAACCTGGAGTTTTAGACTTACTTTTCTGCAGCCCATTTCAAATTCCTTTCAGGTTTTCTGAGTTACTAATTTGATTGATAAAGCTTGATTAAGTAACCAAACCAAGGTAATTGTCAGAATAAACGGTACTGAAGTATTCTGCTAATGTCAATAGTGTCATCGTCTTTATCCACGTTTTCATTAGTGTTTATGATATGCAGAAGCCAGCTCTTTTATAATAGGGGCAAATGTAAAAAGAATGTAATGCCTTCTGGATCAATGTAAATTTTTAATTCAGTAGTAGAAGCTTCTTAAAGAGCAATAGATCCTAACAATTTGAATGGGCAAATATTTAAAAGGTGGGACATGTTTTGTTGTTGTTGGTATTTTGTACTTTGGAAATGCTTTGGGGATCTTTGGGCTAGGGATGTTAGAGGTCCTTACTTTGAGTATAGATAATTCTGAAGATGGGTCTTACAGAAACTTGCATAACTGCTTCCCTAAATTAACTGAGTTATCCAGATATTTTTCTCAGAGATGGCCTGTGCTGTAATTTCTGATAGTACAAGCTCTGTCCTCACTGTGATACACAAGACACTTGGCAGGTGCCAAAGTAGTTACTCTTTCTGGAGCAAAGTAGCAATGTGTTGAGATTTTATTGAAATATAATACAGACTACTCCAAGTTATGGATATACTAAATGTGTATTCCTGGAAATAATAGTGAAATGTGATGTCTCGCTTGTAATACTGTGTAACGCTGTTTTAATGCTGACAGTAAATTTGTACTTGGCATGATACTGTGAGATATGTAGATTTTCCCATGTTTCAAGCTGGTTTATGTATGGGGTATTACTGCAATAAAATTGTATTGTTTGTTTGCATGCCACAAAATAAATTGCAACAAAGATTGCTTTAAAATCCACTGCTTCTCAACCTTGGGAAGGAGGAAACAGTGTTATCCATTTGTATAATAAAGCAGTCCCTTCAGACTGACACAGCACACAAAATTTGTTTCGTAATAAAAAGCTTTTTCAAATAAACTTCAAGGGGAATTACTGTTGTCAACTCAAAAGCTTTCCATTAAAATTCGTGGAAGTTATCCATGGCGAAAGGTGTTATTGCTCTGTTATGTAGCAAGGTGCATTACTGCTGCAGATCTGTATCTTGCAGGAAACTGCAAACTGGATACAGTTTGCTCTGTGTCTTACCACAGCATGGTACACAACACATATAGCTACTTTTTTGGCGAGGAGCTGAAGACAAACATTCCAGCTTTGGGATAAATGCATTAGTTCTTGTTCTGCAGTCTGCTTCTAGTGCACTTGTTGCAACCAGTGTACATACAAGCAGTCTTGTAAGCAGTGAGTATGCAGCTTAAACTGTATAAATTTACTTGTGAGTTAAAAAAACCCCCAAACTCTAGCATTTTAAAGCTAAAATTGTGGCATCAAAAGAGAAAGAGAAAAAAAAAGGAACAAAAAGAAACAAACAAAAAATCCCTAAACAAACCAAAGGTAGGCCATAATTTAAAGTAAGTTTAACTTAGGAGGTTGTTATTGCCTTAAGGAATACCTGTATTCTTTCCCACCTTAAGGAACATTTTTTTCGATTGACAACAGGAGGGACCTGCATGTGCTATGTATTTGTTAATTTGGCTACTCACAGAAGGGAACTGTAACTTATCTTGATACAATGTGTAAGAGAAACAAACAGTACTTCAGTGGCAGAATGTTCAGGAGTTAAAATTTATGTGGCTTCCATTCTTCATCTTTTCTTTTACAGTCCACTCCTTTACACCTAGCAGCAGGCTACAACAGGGTTCGGATAGTCCAGCTTCTGCTTCAGCATGGTGCCGATGTGCATGCAAAGGACAAAGGGTATGCAAAATTAACTGATTTATTATCTATTTGCAGCAGAGGTTTTGTATTAATCAAGATGAAGGTTAATTTCTCTGGTTCGTGTTGCAGCATAATCTCAAATAGTTGGCTGAGGATGCGATACTTGCTTCCAAAATCTGTGTGTGGTTCATCATAAATGAACCTTTGTTAGAACCCTGATAACAGACAGTTGTGATTGTACTTGTTTTAGGTCTTTTTTTACACCTTTAATTTTTTTTCCAGTCTTTGTTCTTTATTTCCATGCACAGACTACCCTCTGAAATCCTGGACTAACAACATTATTTTAGAGAAGGCAGTGGGGGGGAGATACGGGGGCTTAGTGAAAAACGTGCGTTGAAAAGCCTGTCTGTAGTCTCATTATGCTGTTGCATATATATGGGTGTAATTCCAAGTAACATCAGTAATGCTCATGTGCTCACAACTAGTGGTCCTTGGAGATGTATCTTGATTGATGCTGCCAGCAAAAATCAAGATGTAGTAGAAGCTAAGCTATATGCTATTTTTGCAGTAAGGTTAGTAGTTATGTACGATATCACAAAAAGTGCACAACAGTCAGAAATCTGGAATTATACACTTTGAGCATTGTTCTCAGCCAAATGATTCTGATCTGTAAGGTGACGATTTTTATGATGGTCTGTTAGAAGGGCTTAGTCCTAACATTGTAGAAATTAAACCTCTGGTCCCTGGTTAAAGGCATGCATTTTGTATTCAGAGTCCATAGAAGTAATAATTGTGTCTTCTGTCTCCATGAGCAGACTTGAGGCACTTCCTATATTTTCATTTTCTGCTGAGTCCAGCCTAGTGTTAAAAGATTTTTAATCAACTTCTTAGCTTTTTTCCTTTTTTGCTTTCTTTCCAAACCAGTCCTCGGTGCACTTAAACTCTTGAAGTTTTACTAGTTGTAGCACTTTAGTCCATCCATTCACCCCCATGGCTTTTTAAAATCAGAACTGTTATGAAATGCATAATGACATGTTATTCAAGTAAAAAAAAAAAAACCAAAACCAAAAACCACAAGAAGAAAATAAAACACAAAAATCCCACAATAAAGCTCTATATAGTACCTATTCAGCTAGATCCAGCACTGTTAGGCAAGTCTGAGGTATTTTAACCCTGTCAAAAATTTCAGCATCAGTTGGTAGAAAATTCCAGCATAAATGCTGTAATGAGCTTTGAATGATTTGCTTGGAAAGTGTAAAAAGTAACTAAGTTGAGCTTGAACTGGGCGCTGGAGAGGAGGGGAAAGAAAGGAAACAAAAGGAAAACCAATATGCTTGCTCTGTATTAAACTTTAAATCAACCCAAACATATTTAGAAATGTCTTAACATCCTAGTAAGCTCCCACTTTTTTTCAGTGACATCACACATTTACAATCTCTGGGGTGTTTTGTTTTACTTTACTGTTTCTTATTTATACACAATTTATAGGTAAATAATGCTATAAATAGGTGTCACTTTACATTTAAGGAGATAAATTAAGTTACATTGATTTTATAGACCTCTTAGGTTCTCTTCAATGGGATCAATTCAAAGAGAGCCCTTAGGAACTGGGCTGCATTTTCAAAATGGTCACCACTTCCAGTTACTCCCAAAGAGAAGCCTTGCCAAGGAAGCAACTCTTTTTCCACTAGTCCTTTCTTTCCCTTACAGTTGTTATGCACAAAGTTGCAATGTGCTGGAAGAAGAAAGGGGAGGGAATGCTGCAGAAGTGGCTGGGTGGATTGCTGTAGTGATTATCTTTGCTGACTGGCCTTGAGATGACCATCATTTTGGAAGAGGTGCTTGGTGAACTGAGTAGTTTCTCTCTGTCCCTCACTTGCACCCATAAATTGTAATAAGGAAAAGTGATGATGGAAAGATAACAGTTTGGAAAATTTCCCCAAACAGATTTCCCTCTCCTGTGACAAATGCAGTGTTGCTTCTCAGAGCAAATACCTTAAAATTAAGTTCACTTAATTGCTGTCCTAATGCTCTTTGAGTTGATTTTGCAATTCTGGGAATCACTCCCTATATTTTTCATAAATGGGGAAGGGTTAATTATTGTTTTCAGTATATTGTGCACAGTTGATCCATAAGTAGCCTGTCTTACTTGGCTTGAATTAAACTCATTTTTTCCTCTGTGATAATTGCCCTATTTGCATCTCCTATTCAATGCATGACTTTTTTATTACATCTTGTGCTTATGACCAAATCCCTGTTATTTACGTTGCTAGTGTCATTTTTAACTATGGCCTGCAGTAACATAACTGTACAGAAAATTACAGGGACTCTCTTAGAAGTATCATGAACAGTTAAATAGGTTGTACTATAAAAAATGGAGTAAAATCAGTTCATTCCACAGTCTGAAGCAGCAATTTGATATTTCCACATCTTCATAATGTACCCAGGAGTTATGTTAGTGTTATCTGGGGACTTTTGTTTTTCACATATCATTTTAAACGGGAGTTCATATTTAAGCAGAAGCAGAACACTGGTAAGCAAATGGAATGCAGAATGGAACTTTTCCCCCTCCTTAATAGCTTCAAGAAAGATCATGTCAAAGCCACTTAATGCTAATCTTAATGGTAGATTAAACATCTGTGGCCTGTTTAGACAAAAAAACACCAACAAAAAAGCCCCCCAAAAACAAGACCCCGAAGCAACAAACCCCCATGTTTTAATGTGAATCTTAAGTAATGTGTTGTTTGGAAAGTCAGATTTTCTCATTAGTTTGTGAATCCTAATTTTTATGTAAATAGTTTAGCTTTAACTTGCTCTTTTCATCTCAGTAGAGAAAAGATTGTTCCTCTTTCCTTAAAAATGCTGCTTAAATAAACGTCATTTGCCTTCTTCTTCCATACAGTGGTCTTGTGCCTCTTCATAATGCATGTTCATATGGACACTATGAGGTTACAGAGCTGCTACTTAAGGTAAGCAGAAGGATGGAAAATAATTAATTACTGTAGATTCAGGTATTAGGTGAAATATGAACTGTTTATACTAGAGTTGAAAAACAAGACTTTTGTTTTTCTGTAGTAACAGGTTTCAAACATCGTATTGTCATTTCAGAAGCCTGCAACTTTGGGTCTTTGTGTGTAACAGTGTATGTGTTTTTTCCCCACCTAATTTCTTTGGATTGATAGTAGAGTTTATTTAAATATTTCTGTGCAAAAACTATCTCTCGCAGAAATTCCGAAATTTTTTTTTGAGGATTCAACAGTATTTTTGTGTATACTTGTATTTTAATTAATTTTTTTGTCTATGTGTTCATATATGAAAGAGTAGAACCATTTTTTTTTGTTTTTAACAAAATGAAATTTGTAAGCTTTTTAGTTGTAGGAGATGATTTCTTACTAATCCAAGGCTTTATTTGCTGTGCTAGCATGGTGCCTGTGTGAACGCTATGGACCTGTGGCAGTTCACCCCCTTGCACGAGGCTGCTTCCAAGAACCGCGTGGAGGTCTGCTCCCTCCTGCTGAGCCACGGCGCGGATCCCACGCTGGTCAACTGCCACGGCAAGAGCGCCGTCGATATGGCTCCAACGCCTGAGCTCAGGGAGAGACTGACCTGTAAGTGTTCTCAGACTGCAGGCAGTTGGTGGTGGGTGTAAAAAGGGATGCTTTCCTTTCAGGACGGCTTCGTTGAGCCTCACAAGTGGATGCAAAGCAGCAGAGTAGCTGCAGCTGTGCTGCTTGCTTTGAAGTATGCAGGTACCTCTAATATACTGTTTGTGGTATCGCCTGGTTTTCTTAAAATTATTAAGGCACTGCTGAATCAGTGCTTGTGAGTTTTTTAATGCTTGAAGTCCAGGTCAGTCACACAGGAGCCTCTATATTGAGGCTCTTTATTGCACTTAAATGGAAACTTCCAAAACGTAGGTACCTTCGGTGTGCAAACGTGGAGATCGAAATTCCATCACCTTCTTTTGCAGTCCTTGCAATCCTTATGCTGCTTACAAAACAGTCTTTCAGCTCTAATTTGAATTCCTATGTCTTTGCTTGCCCTCTTTGAGAGATTTGTTTTCTCAGTGTAATAAAATGTAAAAGAATTAATTGAGACAAGCATGGAAACAGAGTATTATGAAGTTAGATAAAACTTCTTGAGAACTAGATTGTCAATTATAAAGTTTTTGGTTTTGTCTGTTGCCCTTCCAGTAGAGCAGAAGCCCCCTGAGGCTAATCATGTGATCTTGCACTACTCACAATCACAGGTAGTCAGTTTTTAGTCTGTCACTATTCTTTGCATGTGAAGGGGGTGAGACCACGTGCAGCAAAAAACTTTAATCTAGGAGGAAAGAGGAGAACATTAGTACCTCTTACCTTCTTCTCTAGTCTGTGTTCTGGGCTAAAGTGAAAGATGCTTCTGGCTCTGAGGAAGGTTAATTTACCATGTACTTAAATTAACAAGCAAAAAAAAATCTATTTAAACTTTGTTTTATTTCTGTATGTATAGTTCCTCAAAAGTAATGGGGGAAGATTATTTCCATTAATATCCACTGAAATTCTTGTACGAATGTGACTGTTATGTCAAATTTGGCAGTGTCTTGATGGCACTTCTTGTATTTTCATACCCTAAGTATCATGTTTTTTATCTTCTTGAGTTGTTTGATTTTTATACTTTGGTAATAAAATTACATTAAATTTGTTATTTCAGGATTTATTTGTACTTGTGCTTTGAGTAATGCTTTGCTTACAAAGAAATTTGAATTATATTTGAAATTAAAATTTAGAAGTTATTAATATTTATTTTTATGTATAAATCCACAAAACCACAAGAAGTTAAAGCTGGGAGAAGAAAACCCCTCTTTAAAAAGCTTAGTTTTTCCATCTTGCTTAGGAAAGAAAAATACTGATATTTTTACTGAAATCAAGGTGGTTTTTTTTTTCCTAGTTCCCAGGGTCAGACATAATTTTTGCTAACCTACCTTTCATATGTACATTTTAAGGGAAAGACTGTCATTCCTTTTTAAATTCTAAGTTATTTAAAACTAAAGTGAACTAGTTGCTGACCTAAACAAGATGTGAACATAACAAAATGACTTCTCCTTACTTGCCAAGATATATCTGCTGTCAAAACCTGTCTCATCTTTGTAGCAGACTGGCTTCAAATGCTTAGCCAGTTAGCTTTCTTTAAGACCAATAGTTTAATATTTTATGTGTGTATTATTGTTACTGTTGTTGTTATTTATAATTTTATATATATTATATATATTTAGGCTTTACAGTGAATTTTTTGTCATTGTGAATACGATAGGGTTTTTGAAAAGCTACTGTAATGCTTTTTTTCTGAAGAATATGCCATAGCATTGTGCTCACTTGAACTCATACGTAGGTAATTCAGAGGTCACATATGCATTTAATGTCACGGGGGTGGAGGATAAGAGAGGGAAAAACTATAAGGATTTTACTCAAGGAATCAATTGCCCTCTCCTTTAGAATGTCCCTTTGGTTTCAGCAAAACATGTTTTATGTTCTGTGTCCAGGTCAGCTACTTCCTGAAGACATGTAGAAGCATTCCTATTTCCTCATAATTGAGTTTAGCTACCTTTCTCCTATAACATTTATAAATGTGACATGTTGCTGAATATTAAATGCATCTTTTTCCTCTAACAGATGAATTCAAAGGACACTCTTTACTGCAAGCAGCCAGAGAGGCAGACCTAGCCAAAGTGAAAAAGACACTTGCTTTGGAGATCATTAATTTTAAGCAGCCACAGTCTCATGAGACTGCACTGGTGAGATTATCAAGTCAATCCATTTGTTTTATGATAAATGTGGTGGTAGTTTGGCAGCCAAGGAGTTTTATTTCCACACTGTGAAAATACATTCATCATCTGAGATTGAGGATTTGCCATCAAACACTTAATATATTAAAATAAAATCACTGTTATAGAAAAACACCATATAATTTATTTTATCACTTTTTTCTTCCTTCTGGTAGATTACAGAAGCCCTCTAGCCACTCCCTACCTTTTCTTTTTTCACTTCTCTTTCTTTTTTCCCCATCACTCTCTTTTTTTTTTTTTTCAATCAGTTGCTGTGTTTTTTCAGGGGTTAAATTCTATCCTGTGGTCCAGTGTTTCCTTCGTATTTTATATGGGCAAACTTGGATTACAAATTTTCTTCCATATAAACTTGTGGTGAAAACAGGTGTATATCATAGGGTCTTATAGGATTAGAGTAATACTGACAGTGCCACATTAGCTATGGAAACAGAGGTCTTTGAGGCTTTCCTCGCAGTATCCTGCTCTTGTTTCATTGTTAGAAGAAGCAGTGGAGGCAAAGAACACGGCCAGTATCTCAGATGAAGGTGTTGAAGCTGAGTGGGACTGATGGTCTTATTAAACCCACTATAGTTATGATACTTTATTCCAGTGGAACATTTTCTTCACAGTGGTAGGTCTCAGCCACAGGCCTACAACTGCATATTTGGTGTTACAGACGTTGTGGTTGTGATCAGAACACTGTGTGTTGAGTACCAAGCACCCATATGGTCTGTTTCCTCTGTGGAGGACTCAGCATCCTAGCCTGAATTTAGAAGCAAGATAGAGAAGAGAGATTTATAGGCTGAATGTGAAAGCGGTATGAAATTTGCAAGGATGTTATCTTTTTCTTCCTGAGTATATCAGCTGCTGCTGTGTGGCATCTCTTTAGCTGTGTAGTGATCACTTCATAGTCCTGTGATGTTCTTTGCTCTTTTCCGCCTGCTCATTCTGCAGAGACAGCTGGGCCAAGTGGGATATTTTAGCTCTACTGATGTATTTATTTCATTGTTCAGTAAGTGCTTGATTGTGATTTTTCAATTTTTGCCTCCTGTACTTGAGATTTCCAAGTGGTCTCTAGTCCAAGTGGAAGGATTTAGTTTCCAGGATCGGATGAGGTTATGTACAATCTAACTGAGCTATTCCTGCCCTAAGCATGATATTGTTTACTGTGGACCACTGGGCTCTGTGCCCTATTACCCCACAAAAGCCAAAGCAAGTACCTGGGTTTTTTTCAGTGTTGGTCTGAAGTTTGGCAATATTTCACATTTTTGTGTGGTTTAGAGCTTGTTTATCATATTGGCAGGAAATACAGACAGGACATTATCTGCAAAACCTTAAAAATGCTGCTGCTCTTCAAAGCAGATGTTGATCTTTGTGTTTATTTACAAAGCTTGCCTTTGCAAAACTTGAATGTGCCCTGCCCTGACCAACAGAAAGCTTGAGTGGAAGTTACTTAGTGAAGGCTGAAACTGGGCAAAAGATGGTTATCAGTACTATTGCTGCTTATTAGCATTGGGTTTGGGGTTCTATCTCATTGTGAAGGCTGTTGTTTTGCTACTAGAAATTTAGGGAACTCTGTTCCAGGAGAATATCTGGGGTTTTGAGGTTACTGGTTTAAAACATAGGTAAACATGTAAACAGAAATATCCAAAAGTTTCTCCTATTTCTCACAGTCTGTTATCTTGAGACATTCAGACTTAAAACAAACATTTCTGGACTGATTTTACATCCTGCTACTGAACCTTATCTGGAGCCATGCTGGTAATTTCAGGCTTCAGGAATGCATTGGTAGAACCATTTTTGAGAATCAGTGGCAGATGCCACATTTAGGAGAAAAGTGACACCTAGCAAAGGGCTGTGCGGGCTGTGTCCCACAAGGGCAGGTGTGAGCACTGAAAAGCCCTATGTGAAAGGTCTGTCTTTCTCACAGCATGGGAAAAAAGAGACTGTAAGAGAAATTTACTAATAAGCCTGTTTGCTTATTACATAATCTGTAGTTGGGTGCATAACACAAATAGCCAATAACAAGTTCAGGACACTTTGAAGTAAAAGAAGGAACAAAGCAACATAGAAGTCATGTGAATCTGACAAGAGCAGCAGAATGTTAAGGACCCCTTTGGAGGACGTCTGCGGAAAGTTAGGATGTTTCAACCCGTTTGTCTTTACCTCCTTTGTGCATTATTGTGTCAGCTTTGTCCTGATAGCTGGTTAATGTATTTGGGACCATACTGCTTTTTTTTTTTGTAAGTGACAAATTGCTTTAAAATTAAAATTGTTTTTCTGAGTAGAATAATTTAACTTTGATCACTAGCTTGTATTTTTTTCAGTATGTTAAGTTTCAGCAGAAACATGATGGATTTTGTTTGTAAATTTTGTCATCTGATTTTAGAAGCGTAATTAAGAGATGAAGTAATGTATCCTAAAGTTCTTTGTCATCGGTGTAGTTGAAATATAATTTATATTTATTTTTTTTGCAGCACTGTGCTGTGGCTGCTGTGCATCCCAAGCGGAAGCAAGTTACAGAACTATTGCTCAGGAAAGGAGCAAATGTTAATGAGAAAAACAAAGAGTAGGTTTCTGAAATTTCTGAATTTTCCAAAGGACTCTGTCATACTAGAAGTGTAAAACTATTATCTTTTTTTTATTATTATTTCTCTAGCTTCATGACACCTTTACATGTTGCTGCTGAAAAAGCTCATAATGATGTCATGGAAGTTCTGCATAAACATGGAGCAAAGGTAAATATACTTACATGTATTTTATTTAAGGCAAAAGTATAACTTATTTAAACTGTGATTTAAGCATCTTTCAGAAGTATTTCAGAATGATATTTTTCCAAGTTTGAGCAGCAAACTTGACATTTATGGTAATGAAATACTTAGCTACTTAATCTTCTCAGAAATTCTTCTAGGTGGATACTTTCTTTGCATTGGTTAATATATAAATGATCTCCTTTTTTTTGCTTTTAAAGGGGCTCAGATTACTCTTTTAAAGTCTTCATTGTCATTCAGGAAGCTAAAAATGAAGAAATATACCTGTAATAACAAGCTAATGTCACTCTTGCTGTGATAGGAAGTAAGAGCAATGCAGTTGTATACATAGTTAATACTATGTCTTTTTATTTTGAATCACTGGGTTTTAATTTATAAGCCTGTATGAGTTCTCACTGTCAAGAGTTCAGTATCTGATTCACTTCCACAGTACTTTAATGGCATCATAAAATGGCTTAACAACAATACTATGGCAAAGTTCCACATTTGAGAATTCTGATGCAGCGGTAACTTAAAAGATTTTTCCCAAGGGAGAAGGCAAGGCCAGAGATGTTGCTTATAGTCATTAAAACCATTCATTATTATTTTCCCAAATTCACCCCTAGTAGCATACCTATGCCCTGGAAGTGTAAAAAAAATTAATTTTACCATATTTTGAATTGATACCTCATGGCTTTATGGATCTGATTTTGCACAGGAATTGGGTACTGATAGTATTTGGTTAGGCACTGAACTGGACATGCTGCAGTTTCAAGTGTACTGATACCAAAATTGTCATGGTTTTGCCCTGCTTCGAAATACAAGTAGTTTGTGTGCACTGAGGCTTTCTGGAAAGCCTGCTGCTATGCTTCAGGTATTTAAATTAGTCCTCCCTTGAAAATCTAGCTCAGTGTAGTCAGGTTAGGAGTAAGCTCAGAGATGTCATCCTTGCTGGAAGACCCAATTTTATTGATTTTGTCAGTAGCATGTTCTTTTGATAGCTTTTATGTCCTGAAGCAGGATTTCCTAAATCATGATCTGTGAGTCACTTGTGGACTGAGTGATGGTGGTGAGTGGCCCACAGTTATCTATAGAAAAATGCTGGGTGCTGTGGTCTGTTGCTTATTCCATCGACAGTATGCAAATAGAGGCAGTCATTAAACCTCATTCTTCATTCATATCCTGTATCCTGTGTTATTCTGAGGATAGCCACTCACATTTATGATCTAGCAAAGCACTTAAGTGCATGGCAGGAGACCAATTGAAGTTAATATTAAGTATATATTTCCATACTGCTAGGGATCAAGTCCCTCTTTATCAGTGTCCGAAGTTTCTTAGCTGTAAAACAGTACATAATGCAATCATAATTTTTAATGAGAGGTAGATCATTAAGGTTTTATGAGGCACTTTGAAGTTGCTGGGATATGCTCAAGAGTATTTATTAGTTAACTAGGCATATTTAATCACTCTAGAATGTTTGTCCTGCTTGGATATATCATTTGGCCTCTTGCTTTGTCTGTGGGCATTCAGTTCATCAGATACTTTTAACATGGATATTTCTTTATTTCTGATTGTTGGGACTTGGTAGCTTTAATCCCTGAAGCATGATACAGGTTTGTTGGTTTTTTTGTTGTGGTTTTGTTGTTGTTGTTGTTGTTTGTTTGTTTGTTTGTTTTAATTTTCTGTGTTTCTGGAAGTTTCTTATTAATGTTTACTCTTTTTGTGTCTTAAATTTTAGTTGCTTCATAAAATGTAACCAGGTGTACTAAACTGTTTGATCATGTTTAGTTGTATTTTTTACAATATAAAAGCTGGTGGATCTAGTCCCACTACAATAGCAGCTTCGAGCAACACTCTTCTGCGTTTTAAATACATCTTTTCCATTTTGATGCTTCCTTTGATGAGGTATTTTGCAGTTAACAAACTGATTCTTTTAAACCTCAAACACTTAGTCATCCTTCATAAGGGAACATTGCCATTTCCTATTTACACTTATAACCCCTTCTCTTTACTAGCACCAGAAGAAATCTTGGAGCTCAGGCAACAAGAAGGAAATTCATTCCCCACTGCCTTCCATGGTGGCACTTCCATATCTCTGATGTAAATGCCAGACTGATGCATACTGGGATCATGTTTGCCTTTTTAATAGACATGAGATAGTAGTACTCAGTTCCTTCCTGTAATCTTGTAGTGCACAGAGAATCTCAATTATTTTTTTTGCTAATTTTTTCTATTTGTGCCCTTCAGCACAGTTCTCCTGTGCCAAGATCATTAATGCAAATAGTAAAACAAAATTGTCTGACAACCAACCACCAAGCAGCCTTCCTACTTTCAATGCATTCAGTTCTTCAACCAATCCCTATTTTTTCCAGATAAAATATTTCACATGTGATCCTGTATAAAATGCTTTCCGAAGTGTATATGGATGACAGCTACCCTGTCTTTTTTTACTTTGCAGCCATTTCTTCTCTCAAAGGAGAGGTACTATACAAGTCAGCTTTAATCTGCCTTTTGGAAACCACTACTGATTATAGAGAGAATAATAGCTTGAAAAACATGTGTAATTGGCGCTTCAAAGAAAGTGGAACTTTCTTCTTCTGAAATTCCATGCCAAAAGGCAGACAGCTGATCCGCAAAATAACCAGTAATAGATTTAGGAGACAAAGTCATTTAAAGTTCTGAAGATTGAAAATAATTTGTGACTGTATTAGCAATGGAGAGGAAATCCTGCTGTTTTCTTGAGGATCAACTGAGTCAGACAGCAAAATTGGGCTAAAGTGAAGTATGTATGTTTGCTTAGCCTTTTCTTGTTCTGCGGAAAGGAGTGTAGCGTGGCAAAGACTACTTTAGAGAATTTTTTTGGGATGAACAAGAGATGGTTCCTGGTCTTGGAGCTGGATTTAATTTTATCACTGTGTACATTTGCTCTTTGAAGTATGTTAGATGATAATAAACACTGAAGAACTGCTCGAATAACATGTGCTTAGTCTAGACTTATTTTACAGAAGGATTTCTAAGATCATTAGTATTGGCAAGAATTAACCTAAAGCCACAACTTGCTTATTTTGGTGTGTCATGCTGGCCCTTACTGATACCATAAACTAGATTCATAATTTGAACTGTAAAGAAGTCCTTGGTGCACATCCCTTGCACACCAGCGTGTTATTGCTAAGTAATATGTGTGCCATGGAAGATACTTTCATTAGCTTGTTATTTGAGTTTGCAGAAGTTGACTGTCAATTGTACATCTAAAGCATGGGTGAGAAAGCTTGGTATTTCTTAGAATTTTCTTCATGAATGTTGATCATAGATATCTGTGGTTTTAACTGTCATATCCAGTTTTGACTTGCTTGCCTCAATTGCAGTATGAGACAGCATTTCATACCACAGCTTATTTGATGTTGAATACTCTCAAAGTACATATCAGAAATAAAAGCAGAGGATATTTTAAGAATCCTCAAACATAAACAATTTTTATTAGAAAAATGAGCAGGTCTTCAAATGCCACAGTTTTATCTTTGAAGATGATCAAAATCCTTTGTTTAAAAAGAAAATAATTTGAAGGTGGTGAGCTGATGAAAAACTGCATTTCATCCTGTTTTGTTGTACTGCTAGATAACTGGATATTTCTTACAACAAACTCCTTGTCCAAATTTACAGATACATGGGAAATTTAATATGTTAATATGTTCAGAAAGACATTCAGCTTTCTAGTAGTGCAGAAGAACAGATTTAGAGTATTTTCTGAACCGGAACGATTGCTGGAAAGAAAAACCTTCTCGTGTGCAAGTTCACTGGTATCTTGGGCAAGGGTGGAGATGTCATGAACGCTCTTTAACTATGATACACCTCTAAAGGATACATTCTTCCGCAAGAGAAAATGAGCCTTTCTAAGGTCATGTCAGAGAGACAGTGTCCCTATTCATGATGGTCGCAGAAATGACTTCATTCTGCTCTGCTGGGAGGATCTTGCTTTATGGATCTTTGCATAATACAGATGTTTCTGTGCACTGGAGTAGCATGTTGTCAACCTTTCGTGATCATGGATTTGAAAATGCTCACCATCTGTCTAGACCAACATAACAGACTGAAACGGTTTTGAATAACCGTGTTGTATAATACATTTGCTTCCAACATTTCAGGTAGAGGTACAATTTTCTCAGTAAACAATAAGCATTGTGAAATTGAATTTCCTTTCATGAAGTAGGTTCTGGACTATGACAGTTAACAATGTGAAGAACTGTGTGATCTATTGTGATTGAGCAGTTCACGTTTTCTCACTGCTGAGACATGCAAACATCCTGACATTAATCTTAAGCTTTTATGCAGAAGAGGCAGTTGTGGAACATCTGACTGGATCATGCAAGAGCTTTCAGAGTGAAACTGACCCTTTTTTTACTGCCTTTTTTCCTGCTGACAGAGCTTAAAATTGTCACCAGTGACTCTTCACTCCTGTTATGTTTATTGTTAGCAATGCACAAAGACACAAGGCATGCTGCAACTTGTCTTCAGAATTAATTCATTAGGAGAGCAGTTAGAACACTTGCACTGCAGGGAATGATACTGTGATACTGGAACAGTTGTCAGAGCACAAGTTTCACATGTGATTTTTAGAGTGTATATCTTCCAGAAAGATTTCACAGAGAAAGTTGCAGTGCTTGGAAGCTGTTGCTTTTTGTGCTGCTGTAGTATCAAGGAGTAGGAGGATATTTGGAACATTTGATATTGACAGAAAGCTGATATGATTATGAGGTCTTGCAAAAAATGTTTCCTGAACAGGTCCCAGCTGTTGAGCTGCCACAAGTGCCTGGCAGCCAAGGAAATATTGCTGTAACTGTGTACATTGCTCCAAGAGAGCACCAGTGAGGGAAAGGGAAATCTCTGCAGTGTCTGATGATACATGGCCATTTCCATTTCTCTACTGTGTCGGTTCAGAACGGGGAAAAGGAAAGGAAGGGGATGAAAGGGAAGAACAGAAGGAAGTCTACACTGGGAAATACTGTATAGGACAGTATCCTTCTGTGAAAAGCCTTACTTAAAAACTCTCCATTTGATAACTGCATTTTGCTTTTATGTTGTGTTTTGAGCAGTGGAATGACTGCTTTCATGCTAAAAGGTGAAAAAATCAGATTGAAAGCTGGTGTCCTGTGAAATAAAAGCTGTCAAACCTGTCATTTTTAACTCCTTGCAGAAAACTTGCCTGTAAAATAATTCAGAGCTGTGAGCCTTCTAATTTCAGGCTGCTTATGAAGGGGACCAAATGAATATTTATCATGTTTGATAAGTGCAGCTGGAACAATCTGCCTTCCTGATGCACAAATAAGGCAGTACACCTTGGATATTTTATATTTTGTCAAACAGGGTTTAAACTTGGGTTCTGAATTTGAGAGGGCATATGTTTTTAGACCTGGTATCAAACATTGGTTAAGCCAAGCATATGCTCTACCAGGTTTGGTTTTTATGAGACTTTAATCTCAGGTTTGTATTTCAATTTGTAGTGCTCAAGTTGATTTTCATTTGGAAATAAATCCTGTTGCTTCCAACCTTATTGGAATACATTCTTTGGTTGGTTTTAGACAAGTGTTGCGTTATTGGTGAGAGAAGACCTGCTCCGAAGTGAACACATTCCCAGTGAAATTGCCCTACAAAGCATAATTCTGCTCCTGAAGTAAAGAGCAGCTGCATTTAGTGCATGCATCCCTCCGTCAGCTGCAGCCCTTTTTGTCTCAGAAGTAAGCAGGTATTTCTTCAAATGGCTGACGTTCTTCTGCCACTAGAATTGATTGTTGGCAAAGATAATGATTTAGAGGTGAAAGGAGACCTGGATAAGACATGTGAGATAAAGGCTCTGATGACTCTCACAGTGTTCTTTTCAAATGAATATTAACATTTTTTCCAGGGACTCAGTCAGTATCAAATTCTGCAGTGTGAAATACCTTGCTGCTGTTGCTTCTACAGTTTGTTCAGTACAGGCATGTTTAACACAGGGGATTCAGTGTTAAAGAAGACATTACTTATGATTTTCTTTCTTGGCTGAACATTGTTATCAGCTACTTCCAGAGTTCACAAATATCATTTCATTCTGCCTTTACCATCACTAAACATGTATAGCCCCAGACTTCTGCTTTTCTCTGTGCCCTTCACAGTGCAGAAAGGTATCCAGTGTCCTGAAGCAGGTGAGGATCCTCATCTGAACAAAATGATGGATTTGGGACATTCACCATCTATTTAATATTCACGATAGTAGTGAGTTTTTTATTTGAAACAAAACTTTTAGGGCAATCCTATTAGAGTGCCATGAGCCGAGCACAATTAGAAGAAAGCAGAACTGTTGTCCTGTCCATCTTCCTGCAAGAGAGGTTTGTGATCTGAGAAATTTTTGTTTTACCAGTCTGTAAAATAGTTTCAGACAATATCGAATCATACTTTTCTTTATTCAATTGGTTGTTCTTTATTCTTTCCTGTGTCTTGATATTGTAGTATTGCAGGTATTTTAATTAATTTTTTACTCAATTTGGTAGTAGAGCTTTACACAGTTACTCCTCTAATTAAATTTCATTTAGGATATGTGTCTTACCTAAAACATTTTTTCACTTGTTTTTGTGGAAATGTAGTAGGGTTTGTGTGCTGCATTTTAGGTGATAAATAACAAGCAAAGCCTTTGTTTGCTGCTACCACAAAGGTTTTGAGAAGGTAGAAGGGTGGGGTTTTTACAGGAACAAAGTCTATTATGCATGCAGTTCACAGCCTGCAATCTGTAGGCTTGGAAACAGATAACAGGTTCTGAGTTGCTTGCAGAGAATATAGAGTAGTTCTGTGTTTCATAAAGTGGTAAAAAAGCTGCTGGGCATTTGCATTTAAATTTGTAATGAATTGCTGCTAGGTATAGAGTATCTTCTTGAAAGGTTATTTTCATAGGGGTGTTTTTCCGCTTTTTAAAGCTCTATTATTCTCTTCCTTTCTTTGATAGTGTACCAGTGGAGATGCTTCTAGTTATTTAGGTACTCTTTTAGATCTTGACAGACAGATATGTTTCCATTATCTCATACTCTTTGAAAGCAATACTCCATTTTGCTTGTTTATGCAATCCTGTATTGAGTAGAATTATATCCAGTTATACTTGACATTTCTGTAAAGGCACAAAAACCAAGGAGGAAGTGGACTGTTGTATCCAAGTTTATTTCCCCCACCCTTCATAGAATTCCTATTTGGACATCTTTGTTTTGCATTAATATTTGGTAGTGTGTAATGTTGAGTTACTTCTCCTTCTGAGAATGAGAGATGGTAATTTCCTTAAAGCTGGAAGGTCTTTGAATTGTTGGTAAACTATTTACATCCTTCTCCTCTTCTGTGATAGTTTTACTTTTCTTGCATAAGATCAGCTTCATCGAATTTGTCAAAAGCTCGATTGCTATTTTAAGTATGGCTTTGGGGATCCTGTGTTGTCTGCTAGCTCTGCAAACAAATAACCTCCGTTGTTAAAAGACAGGAAAATATCTTTGGTGAATTATTTTTCCTTTGGAGTGTTTACCTATTTTGTCATTTGGTTTTGTTTAATTGCAGTGCAGAGGAACTGATAGGTAAATATGTCTGCCAGAAAATTATTCTTATTAAGGACAGGGGCAGGTGCAGGCTCTTAATTATAAGAGTGTTTTATTTTATATTGCCGCTGATTTTTCAGATGAATGCACTGGACACACTTGGTCAAACAGCGTTGCACAGGGCTGCGTTAGCAGGTCACTTGCAAACCTGCCGGCTGTTGCTGAGTTACGGCTCTGATCCCTCCATCATCTCTTTACAAGGCTTCACAGCAGCACAGATGGGAAATGAAGCAGTGCAACAGATTCTAAGTGGTGGGTAAAAATAAAGGATTGTGTATTTGAACTTCGGTTTCTCCCTCTACAGCTTTGGATCTTATTTCTTTTTCAATGTAAGAGACTTGCAGTAGTTTTCTCATCTATCCCTGTGTGATACTTGTCAGAAAATAAAGAAATACATAAATAAAAAGCTGTGCTCAGTTCAATGACTTTGTGCAAATTGGGAAGAAAATAAACCTTTTGTAGATTTAGAGCATACCGCTATACAGGGAGGTTGTAGGAAGGCACAGGTAGGGAGTTTGGTGGCTTTTTTGGTAGCAAGTTCCAAGGCAACTGGAATATTGCTGAGCATGTGGGAAACCTTTTTCCCTTCATCAGCCTCCCTATTAAGTACTCCATACTTCAGCAGTCACAAGCAGAGTATTACTGGCAGAAAAATACTGATATTTGCTAAGCTGTTAGGACTTTTACTTCAAATCTCTCACTTGTCCAACAGAGAAAGATTTTATTGTTAAAAGCGCTTTGGATACTGTGTAGATAACAGTTTGTTTATATCCTGCATTGAAAAAGTGAATAGATGTTTAAAGAGGGTGCCACTGGTTTTCCTGTAAGTTCTTAAGGGTTTGCATCCTCTTCTCCATGTTACATTTGAATTTTTGCAAGTACAGAGAAGAATAATTGCATCAGTAGCAATTACAGAGGAAGTAACTCACCTTACAGTGAGATGTACAGGTACTCAAGGAAAGGCACATATCTAGATAGGTGAGAAGACCTGTGGTTGCTAGAAACTCCATTTCCTCCAATGTTTTCAACTTTATTGTCTTAGGATAAAAAAAAAAAAAAAAAAGACATTTTATACCAGTACAAGGAAGGACTGTTTTGAAGTGTACCCACTCCTGAGATGTAGCTGGTTACACAGGTAGCATTACCTGATTAAAATGTGCACATGAATGTATGTATGTGGATTGAGAGAGAAGAATGTCAGTTCTAAAATCGAAAACTTACTGGTTTACACTGAAACTAAGACTCCTTATTCAGCTGTTTTGTTGAACATCACAACCCCAACTGCGTTTTTACAGACTACAACAAACCAACTCCACCCCCCAAGTTTGAAAAATAAGTTGAGCACAAGTTAATATAACTAAATTATCCTAAGTAATCCTAAACCATCTTTTTCCCTGGGTAGAAAGTACACCTGTGCGCACATCAGATGTGGATTATCGGTTGTTAGAAGCATCCAAAGCTGGAGACTTGGAAACTGTGAAGGTAGGTTTGAGCATTTCATGTTAATTTTCCACTTTGCATCGCTGTGCAAGGCTTGTGGAAGCCTCTGCTATGACAGTCATGGATGTAGTGCCAAGTGAATGGTACATCATAAAAAATGTTGAGGTGTGCTTCTCTTGAGTTTTTGGTTGTTCATTTTACCAGTCCTTCACACAACCATGTCTTTGGTGGACTCAGATGTAGCCATAATTCTTTGAAGTGAACCCTGTGATGTGCAGAATCAGTTTAGCAGAAGCAAGCCTCAAGTGCATGATTCAATCAGAAGGCAAGCAAACACTATTAACAAGTAGCAGACTTCTTATTTTAAGCCATCCTTAATCTGAAGGTGAAGGGTCAGGCCACAGACTCCCAACGTCATAGGAAGGTTTGATCTTGTCTTCCATACTTGGTGTGTGGGCAAAACGGCCTGCAGACAGACTGTTCTGCATACATTCCTGCCTTGAGCTTCAACATGATATATATTAATATTCAAACAGCAGCAGTTTTGTGCGCCAGCAGCTCCTCTGATTGCTAAGTTCAATATTTCTAGATTTCTGAAGGCAACATAGGCTGGAAATGGTAACATATCTGGAAAAAATTAAATGGCCTTGAAACTGGTACTTGACGATATAGAGGTTCACCCTTTCTAATACTTTAAGAACTTCCTCATACTGCTTCCATCATTTAAGTCTTGTTTTATTATAGAGGTACTTTCAGCCATAAATTTAGAACAGTTATTTTTTTAACATTATATAAGTGGAAACAAATTTCCTGATATTTAAATTCTGAAAATTTGTATATAATAATAAATGGTTTGGGGTCTTTGGAGGTGGTAGTTTAGGCTTCTTCTTTTGGGCTTGTTTTGTTGCTGTTTTGTTGTCGTCGTTTGGTTTTGTGGAGTTTTTCTATTTGTTTGGTTTAGTTCTGTACTAGATTTGGGCTGTTTTTGTCTTTGCAGCAACTTTGCAGCCCTCAGAATGTGAATTGTAGAGATCTGGAAGGCCGTCATTCAACGCCACTGCACTTTGCTGCAGGATATAACCGTGTATCAGTGGTGGAGTATCTGTTGCACCATGGAGCAGATGTGCATGCCAAAGATAAAGGGTACATTGAATTCCATGAGATGCTGTTTTCTGTTACTGTGAGACTTATATCCTGCGTATTCATTTTGCTCAGGTCTGAGTAACCATCACGTTTTTCTCTTGAAAATTTTTCCCTTTCCTTTCTTCATGTTCTGCTTTGTTCCTGTGCTGCAGGGAGATCTATAGACCATTGAGGCATACTTTGCTTTCTGGCAAAGCCACTGTCACATACACTATAGTACATGATACTTCTCCCTTTTGCCCATCTTGGAGACTTTGTTGTGCTTAAAAGCAGCCTTTGACTTGTTTTAGGTGATCTAAAATTTGTTTTGAATAGAATGGGGTAAAATACCAGGGTTATCTGTGGTCATTTTCCTAATTCTATTAGTTAGCTTTTATTATTAAGTTAGTTATTTATTGAGTTAATATTCGGTTAAATTATATGAACCATTTTACAGGTTTTTGCATTAATTGCAAAGCAGTCATGTAGAATAGCATGATTATGTTTGATCTTTCACTCCAATATATTAGTTCAGGGTGGGGGATAATTAATTTCCCATACTGAATTTTCAGACTCTTCCTGAAAGAAATGTTTGGGTATCTTTCTGTATCTACCAGGTGTGCAGTGCTTACCTAATAACTGTACTTCAAACACTATATAGTGTTATATCTTTTCTGAAATTTACACTCAGTACCAAACTCAGAATCACAGTGGGTCTTGCAGTTTAGTTTTTGGCTGTTGTTAACAGCATTGAAGTTACATGCTTGTGGAAGCAATAACACCTGGGCTTGCTAAGTATTTAAAAGTCTCATGGATGAGAACCGAGGGAAGATAATTAAGTTTTAATTGATATTTTAATAACAGAGAAATAAACCCATGAAAACTGGAAAGACCAAAAGATACTAATAAAGTCTGGTGAAAGTGGGAGTTTTATCTACTGGAACTTTATAGGATTGCATATTGGATTTTTTTCTCTTTAGCTATTAATACTTTCTCTTTGATTAGTGGCTTAGTACCCCTGCACAACGCCTGTTCTTATGGACACTACGAAGTGGCTGAACTCCTAGTGAGGCACGGTGCTTCTGTCAACGTGGCAGACCTGTGGAAATTCACTCCTCTACATGAAGCAGCAGCAAAAGGAAAATATGAAATCTGCAAACTGCTTTTAAAAGTATGTGCTGGAGTTCTCAGATGTGTATTTGTTCTGGGTTTAGCTAGGGTAAAGTTAATTTCTTCTCAGTAGCTGTTACAGTGCTGTGTTTTGGGGTGGGGGGGAGAGAAGGAGGGGTTGAGAAGGTGGTGCTTAATTTCCATCTGAGCTTAAAGTACAACAGTCCTTAAATTCATGTATGTTTATTTTTCTGAAGATTATTAATGCAAAGTTAATAGCAGTCAGTGAGTTCTTGTGGTATCTTTAAATTAATTTTCATCTGGTTTCTTACAAAGAATCATCAGTACAGGTACCCTTTGGAGCACATGTATTAATACTATTAGCCAAGCAGGACAAGACTCTCAAACTGGAAAAAACAGCTGAATTTGTGTAGAAATACAAAACTCCCACCTTGCCCTATCCATCCCTTTCTGGAACAGTTACTGCATTTAAGTAAATTTTGTTAATACTTCTGCAGGTGTGTTACAGAGCAATAACTGAAGGTGGGTCCTAAATGGTGCTTGGTATGAGAGAAGTTTAAAACTGTTATGTTAATGTATAATTTATCAAGCTTCTGGAGAAAATGCAAAATAATATACTGTGGCATAAATATTCATAATACTTAGTGGAAGAACCTTTAAAAAGCATGAGGTAATGCAAAGATGTTTCCAGTGAGAAACATGAGTCTGAGAAACTTCTTAAGATAAGGTCATATCCTGCCGTGGGAGGGTGAGAGGGTGCTAGAGTAGAATTTCTTGTCAGTCCTATTTCCTGGTTTCAGCCTTGCCTACTTATGTCCCTCTGAAGCACATCATTTAAAATGAGAGTAAGTCAGAATATGCATAGTCTTAAAATAATGAGGATCTTCCCCAGCAACCTTTCATTTGCTGCAGCAAAGCACTGCTATTTCCCTCCTATCTCGTTTATTATTCCAAAAAATTAGTTAGTTTGAAACACGTCTACAGCAGGAACCAGAAGATATAAGCACAGTGTTGGTTATAGACACTGGAGGTCTCTGGCCTTTTCTGATCATTCCACTGGCAACTTAGCAATATTTTGTGTTCAAAGGATCCTGAATGGATGTGCAATGGGAAATAGAAAAGTGCTGATTTTTTTTTTTTTTTAATCACTCTTGCACAAGAGCTAAAATATGCCCCTAAGGTGATAGATTTGTAAAGGCTCTGGGTGTCCGTGGAGATGTGCTCACACTGCAGTTTGCACCAGGTTTCTCCTCTGTGTCTCTTATGCCAGCTGGCAGTGTTGTCATTTCTGCTGAGTTGTGGATGTTGAGCTTGAATCCTCCTGACTTGTGCTCCTTCTCTCCTGGTCTGCTTGAAGAAGGAAACAAAAATATACTGGCATTTTGGAGACACTGTCTTTTTTCATCACCTTTCTTTAAAATTACCGCCTTCATTTGCTTCTGTGCCTTGGAAGGGGTCTCAGAAGACACTGCCTCTTCATTCAGATACTTTTTCTGGAACATATTTGAATATTTCCAATTTTGATGAGTTTTAAATTAAGGGATTTAAGGTCATGTATTGGAGAAGTCATTGCAGTTTAAAGGGCTTTGTGCAAAGAGTGCTCTCTTCCTAAAAGAACCACAGATGTGGAACTGGTTCTGTGTAATCAATACTCTGTCCCTTTCTCTTCCTTGCTGTTTATCCTTTACACCCTGAGCATAGTTGTGCTGCTTCCAAATACAAGGCAGTTAATTCCTTCAGTTCTCCACATTCCCAGCTCATTCCCCATGGCTCACACTGACACAGATTAGCCAGCATGTCCAGTGGGAAATGGTAGGGCAGACTTGCTGGCAGGGGTTGGACCACTTGTTTGATTATTCCAAAGAGGCCAGTCAGAGAATACAGTGCCAGCAGCTGCCTCTGCCTTATCTATCTTTGTTTTTTTCCACTGCTGCTGAGAGTGAATAGGGAAGGAGCTGTCCTCCCACAAAAGTGAATGTGGACATGACTCACACCATATGTTCTATATAGTTGTATGTTCCCCTTCTCATCTCCCAGTGCTCCAGTACTGTGTTCTTATCACTGCCTGATCTGCTTGTTTTACCAGCACAGATATACTCCAGCAGTCATCCACCTCCACTTGTCCACCAGAATTTTTCTTTACTGCTTTTGAGGACCTGTAAACTGCTTAAGATGGTGCTGTTATCTATTGGAATGTGTAGAAAAGAGTATTTTTCTAATTCCCTTCTGAAACAAGTGCCTTTTAGCAGTTAGTAAAACTTGGAGCCTGGCTTTGCTAGCTCAGAAATTTGTGCCGAGGAAATACCTCTGCCAGCCGTTTGATTCCTGCCAGTTTTCAGGAGAAGGGGAGGACTGGCAACAAAGTACTTGCAGTTGGCTTTTCTTCGGTCCCTGCTGTGACAGTGGGAGATAGCTTTATGCAGGACATGGTTCTGAACGTACTTCAGTTGCAAGCAGAGCAGTGGTAGCTCTTGCAGAGGATTGCCATTCTTGCCTGTGGAGCTGAGATTCATACAGCTGTTTCAGACTAGTGCTGTTAGGCCTCAGCCTCCCGAATTTAGTCTCATGTGCAGTTACTTCATGGTGGTGGGTCAGCAAATCTCCTGCCTTCTATCTTGTTCCATGAAATAGCTACACACTTATGTTCACTGCTCTGCTCATGATTGTGACAGTAGCATTTGGCTTTGCTCTTTGCAGCATGGAGCTGATCCAACGAAAAAGAATCGAGATGGGAACACTCCTCTAGATTTGGTGAAAGAAGGGGACACAGATATCCAGGACTTACTGCGAGGAGACGCTGCCTTGCTAGATGCTGCCAAGAAGGGGTGCCTGGCACGAGTGCAGAAGTTATGTACTCAAGAAAATATCAATTGCAGAGACACCCAGGGAAGAAATTCAACACCGCTACACCTTGCAGGTGGGTGACTCACCAGGTTTTGTGGTATATTTGTGGTTTGTATGTTTGTGGTAGGGCTACAGATATCTTTCAACCTGGACTGGTATAGGAGGAGTTCCTCAGAGAACTGTCCTGTACAAAGAGTGGCATCTGTATTTCAGGAGGTAATACAGTTACTAGGGAAGAGGAACTTTTGCAGTTGAAAAATTGCCTTAGCTTTTCTGTCTAATATTTTTCTTTAGTTTAGCTGTCCTAATACCAGATTTCTTTTCCTATGCTTTTCTGCAGCTGGTTACAACAATTTGGAAGTAGCTGAATACCTTCTTGAGCATGGTGCTGATGTTAATGCCCAGGACAAAGGAGGATTAATCCCCCTACACAATGCAGCATCCTATGGGGTAGGTGCAGGCATTCTTGCTGTAAGTAGACCATCAAGGAACTCCTTGAAGTCATCTCCAAAGCCAGATATATTGCAGCTGTCTTCCTGTGAAAATAGTTCCGGTTTTGAGGGTGTGAAGTATTTGTTGGGCTAAGTTGCTGTTGTGAGTCCTGTTTGCAGCCGTACAGATCTAAATAAGACACAGATTCAGGTGTGCTGTAGCAGTTAAAGGCTGCAGTTTGGAAAGATCACTACAACATAGCTTTTATGCAGGTAAACAGATGCATAGGATTGAACATGGTTAAGTTTGGGGTGACATTGGAAACAAAAAGCTCAAGTTATCTCTGAAAGACTTAGATGGAAGAAAGAGAAAAATACCAGGGGATCATGTGCAGGTGATGATAGGGAAGTGAAGTCTGTTGCGGCTGGTGTCTGGTGGGAAGCCACTGCTACAGGGTTGAAGGGCTACTGAGTTCATAATATGGTTGCCCTTCAGGGCAAGCCATCTGCTGCAGTGGGGGTGCAGTGGCAGATTGAAGCCATTTTGGATGAGGCAGGCCCTTCTTCCTCCATATAGAAGGGAGCATCTGTGTACTGGTTGCACAGATGCCTGGTGGATTCCTTATAAGCAGTTGTTAGCTGTGGATGAGGTGAGGAAGAAATCTAGTGCAAGTAATTGTACAGAGGCAGTGCTTGAGAAGCTCCTAGCAGTGTGCTTGCAGTCACACAGAAGACATGAAGCTCAAAAAGTTGTAGTGTTTTTTGATGGTCTCATGATATGCTTTGTCTGTTACTCCCTGGCCTGGCACAAGACCAGCAAAATCTGGGAGAGATGACCATAATAGAGCCACGAGTTGAAATAAAAAGTACAGTGTTCACCTTGTTTTTAAGAAGAGCATGAATGAAACTCATTCTACATCATTTGCATTGGTTCTTTAGGTCAGTCTGGGTTCCTACTGTCCTAAAGAGCAAAAAGCTCCAAATCCTTATGAAATATTAGAAATACAACACAGAATTCTTTTATGTTACTGGGTCCTAATACCAAGCAATATTGTTTATCATATACTTAATCCTGTAAGTATTAATTTCGAGGATGTTGCTTAGATCTAGAGATAAATTTTGTTGCAAAGATCGTGTTCTGGCATGGGAAACTAAAACACAAATTACACGTGAAGCCAAAGCATCCATTACTGGCTCAGATAAATGTTAGAAATTCATTTAAGCTGATTATCACTTCTAAAATTCATAATGCCAATCTAATTACTTTCTCTAGAAGAGTTAACTAGGCAGCGTTTAGTGCTTTTCCATCGGCTTATTTAGTTAAGAGTTGCTGTATATCTTTCCTGCGGCATCCCACACTTCTCTCTGAGCTGTCATCAGCCTGTTTAGATCTCTGTGATGGGAGGTAGAGAGATGAGTACTGGTTTCACAGGTTCATAGCTCGCAGGTTTGGTAGGCTCTGCCTTTTCCTCACAAAGTATCTTCAATTCTCCCATCCAGTACTTCATGCTGTGTGACCCTTAATAGGTCTTCCTGCAGCAGAAAAATCACAGTAACAGCAATTGCTTTAAAAGTTTGAAAGTTGTAGAGAGGAAAAATAATTCTCCAGTATTTTCAAACCACACTTGTTCCAAAAGCAAGCTGTTTTGTGAGAGTTACAAAGAGTCATTTAATTGCCATTGAGGGGAAAAATGAAATCCATTGGCAAGTGTTTGTGCTTCTGCTTTAGTGTTTCAGTGTTTCATGCTCCTACCCACTCATTTTGACTATATGCTTTTTTATTTCTTAGCTGTATTGCACAAAAAAACCCTACTTGTCGGAGACAGGCAAAAATTTCATTTGCCAGTTTTCCATACTCTTTTTACTTGGGAGACTCTAAGGATGGGATATTGTTGGAAGTGTGGGGTTACAAGTTCATTACTTTTATAACCCGTGTAAAACAGTTGTCCCTTATGACACTCATAATGCATTTTATCAATTACAGCTCTCATAAAATGTGATTGAAGAAAGAACTAATCTGTGTTGGCACAGATATGTTCAAAGTCTTGCAAGAAGTTGCAAGAAAAAAAGTACAACAATGGAGACTTCTGTGTACAGACAGTACATGTTCTTCTGTGTACAGACAGTAGCACAACACATTGATCCTTAGAACTTCTGGTGTTGTATCATGAATGTTGCATCCCCGTAAATTTTCCAGTTCAAATTTGTCCCTGAATAGTTTTTTTAATGCAGGATCAAGTATCATATCTGCTTCTGCAGGTGACACAAACTTCATGCCATGTACTTAGGGTGATTTGACAGAAATATAATTCTGTGCCTGATCCCAGTTATTAATGTACTGGTGAATGATCTGGTAGCGCACAGATCCAGATGACTGTGGAGCTGCAATATAAACTGGCACCTGAAGAAATGTGCTGCTGCGTGGACACAGAAGGCAGAAGGAGTTAAAGGAAAGAGAAACTACAGGGGTCTCTAGCCACGGTTACCTCCAGCATGAAAAAGGAAATACATGTTTTACCAGTGTCATGTTGATTAAGATGTTCTTGTTTTCCAGCATGTGGATATAGCAGCACTCTTGATCAAATACAATACATGTGTAAATGCAACAGATAAATGGGCGTTCACACCATTGCATGAAGCTGCACAAAAAGGAAGGACACAGCTCTGTGCTCTGCTATTAGCTCATGGAGCAGATCCAACCATGAAGAATCAAGAGGGTCAGACACCATTAGACCTGGCAACAGTAAGTTCATGTTAGCATGGCAACCATAGTCTGCTCTGGAGGATTTGTTCTGCATGTTAAGTTCCTTTCTCTGGTTCCATGACATCGGGGGTCCTCAGCTTTCATTGTGCTGAGGTGGAGAGAGAAGAGCATCTCCAGAATGCCTGTGTGTGATTTTTTTACCCATCAGTCCAGGCATTTTCCTTTGGCTGAGGTCTTAACGTGGCTTGTGATTTAAGGTTTACTTCTGCTTAAGGATTTAATCCTGGGATCAATATCTCGTTTCCAGAAATAAAACTTTATGAAATGTCTCTGATGATGGTCAGTCTGTATACTGTTGATGATCATTTCTTTGAACCTAGGAGGAACACCAGATGGGCCTTTAGAGAAATGGGATCATTTAGAGGATGAGTACACTTAGTGCCTCCACATTACCTCAGTCCTTTTTTTTTTTTTTTTTTTTTGTAACTCCAAAACAACATTCTGAAATTTGTGGGTGGCTGTCAAACTTTTTCTGAAACTGGCATATGTAAACGTTCTTGTTAGTGGTGGCTGCTTGAAAAGCCTAATAAATTTACATGAACATGTTATGTCCCAGGTTAACCAATCTTGATGGAATAGATCATGCATCCAAATTGGGTGCTGTGTCTAGTTACATTGTGAGTATCTTTTAAGGTCATTGATTTATTTATGGAGAGTTCAAGAAATATCCCCCGGAGTAATCTGATCTTTAAAAAACTTGCTTTGTGATGAAGGATATGAAAATTATTCAATTTCTCTGAGGGAAAACAAGGATGTCTTGTTTTGTTCTGTTCTACAAGAACTTGCAAGGGGGAAATTCTAGAAGATGAGGGTCTTTCTTTATTTAGTCAATAAAGGCTAAATTGTTAGCTAAGTTCGTACTTCTCCTGAGCTCATGTCTTTTTTTTTTTCCTATTCTAACACTATGAGATGTGATTTTAGCAAAGGCAGTGGTAGTCTTTCCACTGAAACCTTGTTCCAGTGCAAAGTGCTTCAGCTGAAGTTGAACTTGACAGAGAAATTATGAGAAGGCATTTCCTGGCCTAGGTTCAGAAGGATTTCAGATCAAGTTGCTGTATTGTTCTTCCTGGCTTTAACACCTATAATATCAGTGTCAGAAAGGAAATTAGGTGTACCTTCTTACATATCTTTAAAAAATGGGGAGAACCCAATTCACCTGTGTCTGAGCAGTGAATGAAAATGTTCTTGCAACCATGAATGCCCCTGTAACAACAGTTGGCAGTTTTCTTTCTAATGGGGAAGAGACCAATCAATTAAAACAAATGAAAATGAAAATTATTTCCAGAAATTGGTGGCTTATGATAGTAGGATCTTATGTTGGATGTTCTTTCTGTTTTTCAGGCTGACGATATCCGAGCTTTGCTGATAGATGCGATGCCTCCAGAAGCTTTGCCTACATGCTTCAAGCCTCAAGCTACTGTTGTTAGTGCCTCTGTGATTTCACCAGCATCCACACCGTCCTGCCTCTCTGCTGCCAGCAGTATAGATAACCTCACTGGGCCACTGGCAGAACTAGCCGTAGGAGGGGCATCAAATGCTGGTGATGGAGCAGCAGGAACTGACAGGAAGGAAGGAGAAGGTGCATTTGCTGCTGGACAAGTTTACATTGCTAGAAATACAGTAGTTTAGTATCACAGCAGGCCTTGCTTTATCTGGAAATCATTTCCAATTAGCCAGAAAATGCAACTTGTGCAGCTTGAACTGTTACCTACATTTTTAAGGTGCCTGATGCTCTCTCTGTTTTCACATGCTCTGCTAGGAGCACTGTTGACTGTTCATCTATGTTTGCTGTCAGTGATTAGGTCTGACTACAAAGGCAGATCTGATTAGGTACCCAGATGTTCATTGTTGATTTTATAAAGAAAATCCAATAAGAATTATTTTGATTAAGCAATTATGATTGTGATGGCTGAGGGACTTTGCTAAGACCTTTTAAACTTTCTAATTAGTGTCTGGAATCCATGTTTTAGGTCAGCATCTGGATGCTCACATAGCAAAAATACACCCACCCTTCCTTTCCTTCTCTTAGCAGTATGAACCTGCATTTGTCACAGATGGCTTGTGCTTTTAATAGTTCATTCTGAAGAGGGAACAGTGATGAGCTTTACACAGAGCTTTGACACAGTGGAAGTGGATTGTTTGTTACAGGCATAGACAAATTGTAAAAAGAATCAAGACTATGGAATTTTGAGAGAAAAAAAATCAGTGGTATTGATTATTTTTTTAAGTTGGTTGGTTTGGTTTGGCTGTTTTTAATTCTCATGCATAGGATATAAAGACTCATTTCTTCTCTTGTAGTTTCTGGTCTTGACATGAACATTACCCAGTTCCTAAAAAGCCTGGGTCTTGAACACCTTCGGGACATCTTTGAGACAGAACAGGTAAGTGGCCAGCCTCATCTCTGTTTGCATGTTTAAGAGGTAAACTAACCTAATAAATTTGGGCCACGTTTTCATTTTGTAATTGAAAAAGTGAAAGAAAAAACTGCAACTTCACATCTGCAGAAAAATAAGTATGCCCAAGTTTTCTTTCAGTTTTCTGCAAATGAGTTGCCATATACATTACAGTAAAGTTGAGAAACCTGTGAGAATATCTTCTGTTGTTTGATTCAGGTGTCCAGTGTTTCACTTTCACATACATACATACACTATGACTGCCAATTTGGCTTGTATTCTGAACGTTACATTGGACCTTCTGAACTTCAAACATGATGCGTATAACAAAGGTTAGGTTGGAATGTAACCTGCACTTGTCCTTCAGCAGTCTTGATAGCCAGAAGAACTTTTCACCACCTGTAGTGCTGCATGTGGTATTCTGGTTAGATCTAGGAAACCCTCCAGTTTGACTGGATGCTGAAATAAGAATCTAGTTTGCAAGGGCATAGTCACATTAAAGAATCAGAAACTACGTTTCTATTATGTTTGGACCATTGCATTAACTGGATTTTGCAGGGCTAAGAAGTTTCAAATGGCATTGAGAGGTAGGGAAAAAAACCTGCAATTTATCAATATTTCATAATATAAGAAAGGAGTACAACTCATGTAACAGTTTCTCAACCTTACATTACGTTTTAGAGCAGAAGTACCCGTAATGTATTTGTAGACTCTTTTTATGTACCGTTTCTTAAATTTAAGATGTTACAGTTAAATAAATTTGTTTGCATGGATTCATGATGGAAGTGAAAGGTACAGGTGCAAGAGACTGAATGTGATGATTATTTTTTCCTCTGACCTCTGCTGCTTATCCTTTACTGAGGGATCAGGAAAAAAAAGGTTTGAAATGTAATATATTGCTTACAGAAGTTCCAACTATTTCTGTGAAATATTCTAGGAGATATCTCTCCAAAGTTAAAATATCACATAATTTCTTCCCTTTCTTGTATATGAAGCATAAGCTCTTTAATTTGGAACTGTTTTAATTAAGAAGGAAACCAACCTCAAACCTACCTATACTCTTCTCATATTTCTCATCTTATTATTTTTCACACTTTCCTATTGCCTTGCTGGTTTTGTTATACTTTTGCTTCCTTAACTCCTAACCTGTTTTAAGATTTTCCCTGGCTAATAAGATTTAATAATGCAAATCGGATTCACTATATTCATAATTTTGAAACCATTTAGGTACTCTTGTAAGTTTCTTTGCAGTAAAAACAAGCTCATCTTCTTCAAGCTTATTGTTTTAAGCTGGTTTTTGCAAGCACTGCAGTAACTGCGTGCACTTTTTCACCTTGGCTCTACTTTCCTCCTGATGCTTTCTAGTATTTGGGTTTTTCTGTACTTTTTAATGTTCTGCTGCACATGATGAATGTCTGCAGTGGCTTTTCCACAACGATCCCAGTGGGGTTGTTTTCTGCTCAGTTGGACAGATGTTCAGTGTATCTATTAGTTCCTTGCTTGAGATGCTTTCTTTTGAATTAATGATGTTTGGTTTGTAGTGGACAGAGTTTATACCTGCAATTCAAATTGTGCTAGTAATACAACTTCTTTTGAATCAAGTTCTATTGTTTCCCGTTATTTGCTGAGCTCCCCATTCTAGTTTAATGTGTAATTTCCCAAGTAGATTTCATGCAGTTATCTCCTCCAGTTGAAATATTTCTGGTTTTCATAAAATCATTGCAGTGCACAATTGATTTATAGTGCACAGTACTTTACTTAGCCTTTATCTCCTGTTCTTTCCAAAAACATTTTTTTGGCATCATGTTTTATTACCTTTTTGCTTCCACCAATAATCTCCACGACCTTGGAATTTAAAACCTTGCCAGGTGACTGTAGATGTATTCATGTATTGCAACCAAATGAATAGTTGTATATGTCCTCACAATGTTAATTATTTCCAAAAATAGTGGAGTAGTTGAGCATGATTTAGCATAGATGGCCCACTGGTTTGATACACAGGCAAGTGCAAATGTGTATATAGATACATAGTAATAGCAGACCATAACCAAGTTGATCTGAGAAAGACGTTTATTAGTAAGCTTATAGAATATTAATTTCTGCTTGTGTAGTGAAAATAATGAATTGCACAACGCTGTGAAACTTGAATGCTTCAAAAATACTCCCATATTTGTCCCAGCATTTCCTTGCATCCTCCTTCTACCTAAGTAAAAATGTTTGTGAGAACCTTTTATGAGAACCAACTCTTGTTAATTACTCTAAGAAAAGTAAAAGTTTTGCACAGCTTCACACTGTAGCAGCTGGGTATGGTCCTGTGTTAGGGAGAGGTTTGCCAGAAGGTGGCAGCAATTAGAAGTGAAAAAAACCATTAAACATACATATATATATGTATAAGGTCTTGGTTGCACCATGAATGTGGTACATTTTCTGAAGTGATATGTCTCTAGCCTTGGAAGTTGGACCAGGTTTGGTAAGTGATTTTTGTGGTCTTTGGTCTTTCCAGATAACCCTGGATGTGTTGGCAGACATGGGGCATGAGGAGCTTAAAGAAATTGGGATCAATGCATATGGACACCGCCACAAATTAATAAAAGGTGTGGAGAGACTTCTCGGAGGGCAGCAAGGTAAATATGGCTCTTTTACTGGTTAGTCTAACTGTTGCATACAACAGGCTCCCAGAAGTCACCTTCTCTAAACGCAGACATTGTCACCAGGACTTGAAAGAATCCAGATGTCAGGAAAGTGTATTTGCTGGCAGACTTGGTGGCTCAGTGGGTTGTGACAGGTAAAGAATATACAGGGAAGATAGAGGACCAAGTGATCGTTTGCCTCTCCATGAAATGGACACCCCTGAGGCAGCCTTGGAAGCTGTGCCTGTTTCTCAGGACCCTGTTTCACCCAGGCAGGAGCTATTGGACTGGTTTGCCCTATGTACCTACCAACAGGCCAGTTATATCCTGAAGGGTGGACCTGATGGAGTTTTAGCTGCCCCACACTTGTGAGATGCTTCTGTTGCAAGTGGAAGCAATAAAGGGCAATTATGTCTCGCACACATTTTTCTTCTCTCTTTTAAAGCCTCTGCTGCTAACGAAAGGCCTTTCATCTTCTTGAGGTTGTGCTTCTGCCTTGTGTTTATTTTGCACTTCCTGCTGTGCTAGGATTGTTTAAGAAGAGTAATAATGATAATGGATACAAATAGAGCTGGTATTGATTTTTCCTGTTGATTTTTGCTCCTTTTCATTCCTTCTCTTTGCAGGCACCAATCCTTATTTGACTTTCCACTGTGTGAGTCAGGGGACCATTCTCCTTGACCTTGCTCCTGATGATAAGGAGTATCAGTCCGTAGAAGAGGAGGTAATCCAAGTCCCTTTCTTAATGCTCCAGTGGCTGTATATTTCTCTTTGCATTTATAACCTGTCAGAGCTAAAGTGTGCAATACATTTTGAAAGTGATGAAATAGGCTTTGGTGTGTGAATTGTGTAGATCTGAGATGAAGTTTAGGCCTCTTCATTTGTCTTTTCACATAGAGCAATGATAGAAATTATTTTGCTGTGTCCTGCCAATTTTTTTAATGAGTGGTCTGTTCGCTCACTTAGTGTTATTACAATTTGTTGTCATTGTGTTTTGAATGTTGTCTCATAGGAAGAATTTCCACAGCTTTCCCTAGATAGGTGGACCTGCAAAAATCAAAAGCTATATATAAAGACCAAGATATCAAGACCTTACAATTCTCTGGGCATTTTCTGTGCTCAAGCTATTTCTGCAAGTGATCCAGCTTGTTTTCTCTTGTCTCAGTGGCTTGGTTAATCAGTAACCCAGATAAACAGCTCTTGGATAATTGAGAATTGACTGCAATTTTGCCTCCCACACACACATGCTCTTTTATTTAAGTAAACTACAAGCAGATACCATTTTGAAAGCAAAAATTGTAACAGAAAAGAGACTTCCTGAAGAATTGTATTTGGAAGAAACTCCATTTTACTGTGCATTTGCTATTTGTGTCATGTTCCTACACTATAGCACAGTCTTTTTTAAAGTCTAGATATTTAGTATTGATGCCAGTTAAGCCAGGAATACTTTTTATTAGTAACTTCATAAACTGGAGTTTGTGCAGATCTTTTTTATAAACTTTTCCGACAGAAAGGGTCACTTGTGTGCCATAGTAAATTGGGTTGTTTATTTGAACTGTTGCTAAATATTGTTGCTGTAGCTATAAATACCTCTGGAAAAGGCACAATGAAACCATTAAAATTCTCAGGATCTGCTAACAACATAGGAAAATTTACTGTACAGGCATTTTCCTATCACTAAGAAATGCAAACTAAACTCATTAAAATCACATTTGTTATTACTACAAAGTGATCCTTTTGTATATTCATTTTCAAAGATTGGGTTTTTTTAATCTAAGGCAGATTTTCTAGTTGTATACAATTTGGATAGCAAGTGCCATTATTCTCCTTTTTCCTATGTAGATTTTTATTACAAGATTGGATAATTGCATCATCAAACTTCTCTACTATGGAACAGGATAGCATGTTGGGTGCTTGAGAAGTTAAGGTGTACCTCAGTTTAAAACTGTCAGGTTTTTTTACACCTTTTAATTAATTTTCAGTCAACATTGCCCATTGTTGTTGTCAGTGATACTCTGAGACACTGCATGGACACTTTGCCGTGCTAGCAAACTTTTGTGCTGAACATTCAGGTGTGGTTTTTTATGTAGATGCAAAGTACAATCCGGGAGCATCGGGATGGTGGAAATGCTGGTGGTATCTTCAATAGGTACAATGTCATCAGGGTAAGTTTCAAAACCTCTTAAATTTATGGCATAGGTTATGTTAGTGTCTATGCCAGCAGGCAGAATTGGTTTAATGGATCATCCTTTTATAATTAAAGTTCTTTGTTGAAATACTCATGAAGAGAGTTAAAGCAGTTGCTAAATGCTAAAAATAGACTAAATGTGCGCTCTGCACATCAAATGAGGGAGAGTCCACTTGGGCTCTTAAAGGAATATGAAGAACTGATGTTGAAGACAGATGGTGAAGAATCTGACTTTTTCACAATCTTATTAAATTTTAGAGGTCTATAACTTCTGTATTTGACTTTGCAACTCAGATCTGTTTTTTTCTCAGTGCAGTCTTTTCTTATCAATTTAAAGAAGATTTTGGGGGGGGGTGAGGATGTATGAAAGGAGGATCATGACTTTTAATAAATGTTTCTATCTCCCTATACAATCTTCCCTCTTGACACCTTCTTCTTTGCTTTTGCTAACTAGAAAAATATGTTTTACAAGCCTTGGTATTTCATAAAACAGAGTGTTGTCTTTCTGAGAGAAAGTACAGTTTCTGATTGCTTTTTGGGGGGAGAAGGAAATACAGGAAATTAGAACAGAATTTGGTTTCTGAGCTCCAGGAAACCCATGGTGCCTATCTGTTTGAAAAAGAAACCTGTGTGGATCCTTTGCAACTTCATCCAGTAGATCATACATCCCAAAGTAAACTTTGTTTTCCATCCCACTCCCAGCCAAAGGTAAAGTCCTTTAGAGAAACCACAGTAGTATGAGCGTGTGGCTAAAACAATACCTCAAGATAGATTAAACAGTACATCTCCTTATTTTTTCCTCAAAAGTTGTTTCTTTTCATAAAAAATAAACCTAAACTAGACAGCAAGTTTCAAAAAGCTAGACCAGATTGGTCAACAGAGCTCAAAGCAGAGAGGGAAGGAGATTCAGACAGTTTCTAGCTCTTTATGGTGTTGCAGGCCTCGAGAGAAGAAACCTGAAAGTTGTCCTTAAACCTGGCAACTTAAGCTGCAATTTCACACTGGTTTTAACCATTCGTAAGTGGTGCTACAGAGTTGTTTGAAAGACTTCAGCCTTGCATGCAGAACAGACTAGGGGTTTCTTTGTACCCTTTTCATGCCTTGCCCTCAGTTTCCCTGTCGAATTTATGTGAACTCTGTGAAACTATATTCCATTTCAATTCCAATTCAAGTATGGTTGGACTTACTGTACCCCTGCAGATTCAAAAGGTAGTGAACAAGAAGTTGCGGGAGAGATTCTGTCACAGACAGAAGGAGGTCTCAGAGGAGAATCATAACCATCACAACGAGCGCATGTTGTTTCACGGTAAGGAAGTAGTGTCTCTTTGTACGTGTTGGAATTTAACAGAAAAACCTAAACCCTACAAGGACCCACAGGCAATAGTAATGTTGCTGCGTCACCATCCTCCACAAATAACTGTATATCTACACTTGAAAGGCAGAGGGTGCATTGGGGTGGGGGAGTATGGTTACTGCAATTCAAAAAGCTACACTAGATAAAAAATACTTTTTGTTGTTGTTGTTATTTTAAGAAAAAGGAAGGATTTTTGCTAAGCTGTATCTTAGTCATTTCCAGTAAAGCTGCTGGGTGGATGTTACATTGCTGTGAGAAAAAGATGGTATCTTCTGAATGAGGAGAGCATTACACAGTAGAAACGTTTTACCCTGGTGCTGATTCAGGCAAGCATCAGGGAAAGGAATCAAAACCGGCCACGAGTTTCAGCAAGATTTCTTTAGAAGTGCCTACAAATGACAGTTGCCTGAAGGTCCTTCTGCCCTAGATTCTTCTATGATTCTGTATAGGAAATTGGTTTTGGGTATGGTTGTCTTAACATCTTGCCCCATCTTAACCAGTACTGACTGCTGGAGAAGGTGTGCACTGACAAGATAAATTGCATTGAAATGTGAGTAGGGGGAAAGCCTTTTAATGAGATCTGTGAAATGAGTAAGATATGAGTCACACGTGGGATTTTGGTATATAATGATAAATCCCACACATCACTGCATCCTGCTGGGTATCGCCCCCTTCCAGCTGACTGAGCATGCTTTCTGGTATTTAATGGTCTATTTGAGGCAGATAAACTCCTCTTGACATAGAGTCCTGTATTACTATAAAACTTAAAAAGTATATATCTTTTTGTGTCATTCTCTTCTAGGGTCTCCTTTTATAAATGCTATCATTCACAAAGGATTTGATGAAAGGCATGCATACATTGGAGGAATGTTTGGAGCTGGAATTTACTTTGCCGAAAACTCCTCAAAAAGCAACCAATATGTGTATGGAATAGGGGGAGGAACAGGCTGTCCCACACACAAAGACAGGTCCTGTTATATCTGCCACAGGTATGAGTCCAGCAGAGCTCCCCATATGTAATTCTGTCTGTCCTGGTTTTTACAATCCTGGCACAGGATGACTTGTAGGGAAAAAATGGCCTCTTGAGCTTGGTCATGCCAGGAAAAATGCAGTTTTCCATTTGTCAAGCTGAACAAAAAAGGATATAAATGCAGCGAGTCCCACAGGAAGGTCAAAAATTACATCTAAGCATGCAGTGAGTATAAATCAAAATGAACTGTGGTCAGGAAAGAGGCTTGAAACAGCAAGTTTGAAAATGAAGAGTCAGGGGAAAACAGCAATTAAACTCCAGGCACTTTCAGAACAAAACTGCAGTGCCAAGTGGTGGTCAGCAATACAGTGTTGTACTGTGGGTCAGATAATTTTGGAGGTAGCGAGCAGGACTTAATCACAGCTTTGTTTGGTCCTGGAGTAGATCAGTGTGTTTCTCGCACTTTGACACCTGTCCATACCCTGCTGATAGAAACACGGAGAGTTTCATCTTCTTTCAACAGCTTTATATAAAGTGAACTAGAACAGACCTCTATGTGAGGGCTAAACAAAGTGCGTGTTTTCTCTTCTGTGTGTCATGAAAGATTTCTTGGGACAGGTTTTATACCATCTTAGAACTGGTTTCTAAAAGTGTTTCTCTAAAAAGCCTTGAGAAATTAATAGTAATGAAATAAACACAAAAGACTGAAATTGTTCTGGAAGCATACAACCCCTAGTAAGATATTTGAAAAAATATGTTTTCTTTTTTCCTTTTAGACAAATGCTGTTCTGTAGGGTGACCCTTGGAAAATCCTTTCTTCAGTTCAGCACAATGAAAATGGCTCATGCCCCTCCAGGGCACCATTCTGTTATCGGCAGACCAAGCGTGAATGGACTTGCATACGCTGAATACGTTATCTACAGGGGAGAACAGGTATGTAAGTTAGCAAGGACTGGGCTTATGAGGGACAGAGATTGAACTGAAGAGGAGATGTGACTGATTTCTAGACCAAGTGTGCTGTGATTAGGTCATTGGTTAGATTTTTAATTTTTTCTTCATTTAAATGTGGAAATAAACTGTATCTAGCCAGCAAACGCTAGATACATCCACTGAACTGCTCTGATTTATAACATGCAGAATTCCCTGATTTCTCCTGTGGAGCACTGCTAGAGCCTATTAAGAATTGTAGTTTCTCTCAGTAGGCTCTCCTTCTCCCATTCCATTTCACTGCATTACTGCAGTATCACGATCACACGCATTTCTGGGGCTCTTGTACATCTTAAGGATTCTGGGGTTTTTACCTCTGTATTCCCAGCAGTGACAGAGACTACCCTTACATGGCAGCTGGAGTAGCACAGCAATCTTCAGAAGCTGATATTTAATCTAAATAACTCAACTAGACCCTGGCTCTAGAAAAGTGCTTTGCTTAGTGTATTGGGTAGCTCTGAGACCACTGAATAGCCACAAGTTTGGGGAGCCTGATGACATGCATCCCAGGGTCCTGAGGGAGTTGGCTGATGTTGTTGCCAAGCCACTCTCCATCATATTTGAAAAGTCATGGCCACCAGGCAAGGAAGCGAGCGACTGGCAAAAGGGAAACATCACTCCTATTTTAAAAAGAAAAGAAAAGTAGACCTGGGAAACTACAGACAAGTGAGTCTCACCCCTGTGCCTGTGAAGATCATGGAACATATCCTCATGGGAGTAGTGCTAAGGCACATACAAGGCAAGGAGCTGATCCAAGACAGCCAGCAGAGCGTCAGTAAGCGCAGATCATGCCCGACCAATCTAGTGACCTTCCATGATGGAGTGACTGCAGTGGTTGACAAGGGAAGATGGACCGATGTCATCTACTTGTCCTGTCCCACATGACAACCTTATCTCCAAATTTGAAAGGTGGACTATTCTGTGGATAAGGATTTGGCAGGATGGTTGTAATCAGTGGCTCTATGTCCAGGTGGAGCTAATGATGAGAGGTGTCCTTCAGGGCTCTGTCTTGGGACCGGTGCTCTTTAATATCTGTCATTGACATAGACAGTGAGATCAAGTGCACCCTCAGCGAGTTTGCAGATAACATGAAGTTGAGCTGTGCGGTTCACACAACAGAAGGACAGGACGCCATCCAGAGGGACCTGGACATGTTTGAAAAGTGGGCCCACAAAAATTTCATGAGGTTCAACAAGGCTAAGTGCAAGGTGCTGCACTTGGCAGTTGCAGGGCAATCCCAGATATGAGTGCAGACTGAGAGATACCCTCTCTGAGTGCAGCCCTGCGGAGAAGGACATGAATGATCTGGTGACGAAAAGCTGTACATGAGCCAAAAAAGTATGCTTGCATCCCAGAAAACCAACCACATCCTGGGGTGCATCAAAAGAGTCAAGGGCCAGCAGGTAAAGAGAGGTGATTCTCTTCCTGTACTCTGCCCTTGTGAGATCTTACCTGGAGTGCTGTGTCCAGCTCTGGAGTCCTCAGCGCAGGAAGTGGGTCAAGAGGAGGGCTGCAAAGATGATCAGAGGGATGGAGCACCTCCCCTGTGAGGAAAGGCTGAAGGGCATTGGGATTGTTCAACCTGGAGAAGGCTGCAAGGGGACTTCCAGTAAAGGGAAATTATAAAAAAGAGAGAGAACAACTTTTTATACAGGTACAGTGACAGAACGTGAAGGAACAGTTTTAAACTAAAGGAGGGGATTTATATTAGATGTTAGCAAGAAATTCTTTACTCAAAAGGGTAGGGAGGCCCTAGAACAGCTTGTCCAGAGAAGCTGTGGATGCTCCACTCCTGGAAGTATATAAGGCTAGGCCACAGGGGCTTTGAACAAACTAGGCTAGTGGAAGGTGTCCCTGCCCATGACGGGGGGGTTGGAACTAGATGATCTTTAAAGTTCCCTTCCACTCAAACCATTCTATGATTGTGTGATAAGATATTATATAATCTTAAGTTCAGGTTCAAAGGAACCTTTGGGAGGCCTCCCTGGCCAGCCATTTGTCCACACTGAATCCAGGCCAGATTGTTGAGAGCTTTCTTTGACCAGGCAGGTCTTGGAGGCCTCAGCAAATACTGTTTCACAGCCTCCTACAGCAGCTTGTTCCGTTGATTACTTATCCTCACAGTAAAATAATATGTTCTTTGTATGAAATAGAAATCTTCCCTGTCTTAATTAACCTCATTCTTGGGCGGTGCATCTCAGAAAATCTGTTTTCTCCATTTCATATGTAATAGAAGACTGCCTTGAGGTCCCACAAAGCCTTCTCTTTTCTGAACTGAACAAGCCCATCTCCCTCAGCCTCTTCTATCCTGTGTTCTCTCCCCCTGACCATCTTATTGGTCCTTTGCTGAACTTGTCTCCAGCTTGTTGGCATCTTTCTTGTATTGGAGGGCCCAAAAGTTGTATGCAGTTTTCTAGATGTGGTCAAGTGGGTACTGAATAAACAGCAGTCACTGTTTCATTGCTGCTGATGTACCACAGGATGCTGGTAGCCCTTATTGCTGCCAGGACATGCTATTGATTCTGCTTTAGCTTGCTGTCACCCAAGGACCCCCAGCACCTTTTCAGCAGAGTGGCTTCCCATCCTGCAGTGTTACAAGGACTTCCTCCCAGGTGCATTTGCCTTTGCTGGATTCCCTGAAGCTTTTGTAGGCCCAGTCTCCTCTCAGCTGTCTAGGTTCCTCTGAATGGGGCTCTGCCCTCCAGCAACTTTAGCCTTTTTCTGGGACAAAACTGCCTACCAGCTGTCTCCAGAAAACACTGGACAGATGACTGACTGGGTTATGTGCTTTGGGTGGGCCAACTGTTTTACTGCCTATAAAGGAATTTGCAGGTCGCATGGCAAGTTAGTGACCCTTTTGGGGTCAGACTGTCTGAGATTTTTGACTAACTTATAGGCATTGACTGATCTGTAGGATTAGCTAACAAGGAGAGTAACTCTGAAGTTCTGTTACACACAGAATTTCTGGCAGTGCCTGCATGGAAGAAACATCTTTCTTTCTACTAGTATATTAATCAAAGTATTAACTACACTGAGCAGTTTCCACTTATTGCTGGCGAGGTTTGAAATCCACTTCTTCTGCAAGCTGTGAACATAGAGCTTGCACTGTCCTTTCTGGGACAGTGTTTAGTGAAATGCAAAAAAAATGGGAACTTGCTGAGTGTACCCTTGCATAAAGCACTGTTTCTCTTCTTGTTTTACTTTCAGGCATACCCAGAATATCTCATTACATACCAGATTGTGAAACCAGAAGCTCCCTCACAGACAGCAACAGCAGCAGAGCAAAAGACCTAGTAGCTTCAGAGCGGTGAAGAAGGATGTGACTTCAATCTTGGACTGGATGGATACATGTTTCAGAAAATCAGTATCATAAAATTCTTAACAACCTGGAAATAAGCTGTATGTCTTTTATAAAGCATTGCTGTCTTGATGAATACGATATGAGTAACTCTTGCATACTCAATTGCTACTGTTCCTCTTGAGGAAAGTTTACAAGGGACTGCCTTTTAATAACATATCTCAGGCTCCTAGTCTCTGCAGTTACCATGTGTAAAATAATATTGTTTTGATCTAGACCTTGGGAACATTATTGTGCAAATGGAAATCTTTATCGGTGCCATCTCACATGTTAAAATTTCAGACACTACTATTCTAATTATTTTATTTGCAGATAAATTGCATTAAGCCCATCATTTTCTTTTCAGCATACATCGTTCATTTTCTGTTGTCAAGAGATCCTATTTATTCTTCTTTTGTATTCTGAAGTTGAGCCGGAACCTTCTTGAAGATATTTTGCACAAAAGTCGAGTCGACTAAAATCATTAACAATGCAATATAAATTTCATCTGAGGAGGGGCTAGGTCAAGTTCTTCAATATAGGGGTTTTTTGCACACCTCTGAGCAAACAATAATATGAGTGAGTGTAACTTTAGAGTGGAGACAAATCACGATAGTTCACTGCTTTTTCTGTGTGAGTTTTCTGGGGGAAGCCCTGGGAAGTGTTTGCAAGGGTAAAACCAGCTCTTGTGCGTGGAAGAACGTCATAAAACAGGTCCGTGTTCTCTGCTGGCATCCCTGAAAGAACATTTTATAAGGCTATTAAGTACGTGCAGCTTGTGAAATGTTCTCCAGTTACAGCAGCGTATGGGTTTCTGGGAGATAGCAGGTTAAGAGTCAGAAGATTTCATACACAAGGGCATATCTAGTTCATGTTCCTCTGTAATATGAGACCCAGTAAGTGGGTTTCAGGCTGGTAAGGGAGAGTGTGTTGTAGCAGTTTCATGTCACATCTTCGTGTGTGACATCACAGTTGAAGAGCTTAAGGGATTTAAAAAAGTAATAATTATTTTAAATATCCATTTTACATTTTGATGAGAACGAAATTTTAAAATATTAGTTGATAAGTGGATTTGTTTGCAGGTATACCAGAGAACAAAGCTAGGATTTATTCACCTTATTCCCTTCTTCCCAAGTTCACAGGTTTATTTTATGGGTTAGGAGAAAATTATTTTTAAGCATTGCATAGCACAGAATCAAACAGTTTCAAAAGTCCCCTTCATGATGGACATGCACTTAACAAAAGTAGCAAGCAGTTTCTTTTTTGTGGTGTTTTACAGTTTCAGAGAAGGTTGAAAATCGAGACCTGTTAATTTTTTTCCTAACAGCCAATATCAGGACATGTGCTTCAGTGCTGACCATGTAACAACTGGAGGAAAAAAATGTTCCTTTGAACACAACACGCTGTACATTTCCCTGTCAACCAGCACTATTTAGTATCTGATGATCCAGTTCATGCATTCAGGTTTTATCCCTCTTAAAGCAAGAGAATGACAGAATAGTATGCTTTTAATTTATAAAAATATATGTGCTACTCACAAGTGGGATTTTGCTGACATGTTTGGATAAAATAAAGCTGAAGAGCTTTTCACTTTCAGCATTAGGGCACAACATTTTCATTTTTAACATTAAGGCATTAATGCTGAAGCAAGTTACCTTCATAAGGAATTTCACCCACTGTAAAATCAGTCACTTGATGCAATATGTCTACCTGAAATCATCTGTTTGTAGTATCTCTTAAGAAAACCTTAGAAATAGCAATACTCCAACAGATCTTGAACTTTGAGTTTTATTTTTGTTGAGCTGGCAGTGGATATATGGTTCTCACTTCATTTTGTGACCTGATTAAATATGTAGCTTTAAAGTCCCAGCCAGGCTCTAGCCTAGTTGTCCTTTTAAACAAATTTCATTGATAAAATCGGGTGCTTGTATTTTGGCTACTTGTTTCATAGTGTTAGGATTGCAAAGATCACCACTAGGCTTTGAAGCTTTGTATTCACCATTAAAGTTTGGGGTTTGTTTTTAATTTAGTTAATAATGGAATGAGAGGGTTTGCCTATCTACACTAGGATTTCAGATAGCCGCCAGAGCGAGTATTGCTCACCATCCCCAGTTAGACATAGTTTTAAATGGTGAAACAGCTGTGCTGCTTAGGTGAGCAAGATGGGTACTCTGGGTGTGGAAGTTAAAAGCTTTACATCTTTCAAAAACAAGAGCAAATCTAAGAAGAAAAACCCCACCAAGCCCACACCGGATGCTGTTCATGCTTGTTGTTTCCTGTGTGCTGATTGAACTAATGACTAGCCTGGATTTCTTCTGCAGCCTTGAACTTCTAGAGGATAAAAATAGCCTAGAGAAGAGGTGACTAAGGGGAGACCTCATTGCATCCTCATGAGGGGAAGCAGAGGGGAGGTACCTATCCCTTCACTCTTGTGATCAGTGACAGGACTCAAGGAAATGGCATGAAGCTGAGTTGGGGGAGGTTTAGGTTGGGTATTAGGAAATGGTTCTTCACCTAGAGGGTGGTTGGGCACTGAACAGGCTCCCCAGGGAACTGGTCACAGCACCAAGCCTGACAGAGTTCAAGAAGCATTTGGACAACACTCTCAGGCACATGGTGTGACTCTTGGGGTGTCCAGGAGTTGGGCTTGGTGATCCTGATGGGTCCCTTCCAACTCAGCATGTTCTGTGATTCTCTGATTCTACTTTCCAGTATCTTTGAACTGCCAGTGTTAACGTATCTGATGTTCTGTGCAGAGTAAAGGTGCTGTGCGAGGAAATAATTTTGCAGTGGTTTTTGTCTTGTAATGACGTGATCTCATATCCGTTTGTGGCCAGACACAGAGGAATACCTGGGCCTGATCATGCGTCTGTGTGTCGTAGAAACCTGTGCAGGAATAGCATATGTTGTTGTCGCTCCTCTTACAGTTTAAAACAAAGCGAGGATCTGCCTGTCAATATCAAAGTTACCCATGAAAAACCTGCTTGTGGTTTTGGTGGTAGAGCTGCATTTGGCAGATTGTTAATGGTACAGATGCTGCTGCTTTAGCTGGGGGAGTTAACTTCAGTGGGACCTTAAAAATGCCATGCCCCCACAACCCCGCAGCTGCTGCCTCCTGAGAAGTGAAGCTTTTCACCTCCTGAGAAGTGCAGTCCCCTGATAATGGGGTGCTTAATTGCAGCACTGAGTCATCAGTGGAGGCACAGTACGAGCTGAGTAAGAGCACTCTGGGCTCAAGCCATCTCATAGGCTGAGGAGCCTGGGCACCTCTCACTGGCTCTAGAAAGAGCTATTCCCATTAGGACAGAACACTGTGTGTGCTGGGGAAAGGGGCAGTTTGTCTCTCAGGCCTGTTGATTTTTGTCAGTGTCCCTTTGAGGCAGCATTTTGAAACTTCTGTGCAGTTTGAGACCGGATTTTAATAGGCAAAACCGAAAGAAACTTCACCACATAACAAGGAAGGGAGGATTCTGCCCTCCATTGCTGATACTGTTTCTATGAGACTGATGAATTAGATACCTGGTGCAGAGTGACATTGTAATCTGAATGCTGTCAGCAAAACTTCTGTTAGGTTTAAAAGCAGAGTACAGTACCTTAATAAGGTATATTTTATTTTCCAGTCCTTATTTTTACCTACTGGTCGTGTTTGATCCCAGCTCCACAGAGACTGTTACAAACCCCTTGTTACTAGTTCCACCATGTTGCAGTCACTACTGGTCTGTAGTCCAAGGAATGAGCTAATGGTTTTCTAACTTCTGTTTTGAGTGTTTGCATGTGATGCAATTGAATCCCACTGCATTATATAGCAGGAATTTATTTTGCCTGCAAACTTACACTTTACTTGTTGGTAACCAGAGTACCCCAAAATTCTACACTGAAGCAAAAAGAAAGCCCCACAAAAGGTTGTGCACTGCTGCCTTTGGTGGGCAGCAGACACAGAAGAGGAGTGTGGTATATGGGACAGAGTACCTTCTGGAAAAGGACGCTTCCTTGGCTCTGGAAACCAGCTGCTCCTACGGTTTGTTGCAGGTTACAGGAGACATCTGCTCCCTGTGAATGCCTGAAGTGCTGAGAAAGGCTAACATGTGCCACTGCACGGCCTCTGGGAACTACTTAACAGTGGCAAATCTCAAAAAAGACTCCTGCATCCCTGCAGTGACATCAGAGTTCCTGCACAGTTCGAGCACTGCCTAGAATTTCCATATGGGACTGTTAACAGAAATTGCCCAGAACAGATTTTTACAAGGCAGGTAAAAGGAAGGGTCCAGCCACAAAACAGATAAGTTTGAACATTGCTAATCATTGTCAGAAGCTGAATGTCAGGAAATGTGTGAATTTATTTCCAGTGGGATTTCTCCGTTTCCATGCTGCTTTGCCACAGAAAATCTAGCTCAGAAATCTAAAAGCAGTCATATCTAAGGCATGCTTCAGTCATGGTAAGGTATTTTTGCAGCATTTTAAGCTATGCTGCAGCCTGGAGAGGGAAGACATGGGAAAGCACAGGTTCAGTTCTTGCCTCAGGTAGCAATTGGCTTGTGAACCTCCACAGACTTGAATCCATTGTTCAGAGGTGGTGGTTGGACACAGTCCCAGAGCATGTTCTCCTGGTCTTTCAGAGAGCATCGGGACACCTGCACAGAGGTGCAGTTGGCAGTGTTCCCACCTGTCTGAACACATGGGAGATGCGAAACCCAGAGGATCAGGGAACAGTGTATGTGTGTTAAAATCTCTGAAGGAAGATGAATGAACCCACGAGTCAGTGGGGGACGTGAGAAGCAGATGCCTTTCCCGTTGCACTAACACATATGCCTGTCAGGTTGTATTATCTGACTGGTTTTGATGTCTCGGTCTTGCTGGACCTGTTGGTGGCAGTTTTTAGTGTTGGTCCCATTAATTACTAATGTAGAGTATTAGAGTCTCTGTATTACAAGATAATTTTGACACTTTCTTAACATCTGCAGATATTTCAGCTTTGGAAATTGAAATGGGGATTTTCTGTGCTGCAGTCCCATGAGCTTGTGCATCATCATTCCTAATTGCTTTCTCTGGCAACCCAAATGGCAGTGTACCTGGGAGATTGAATTTCTAGACCTTTTCTTGTATAACTTGTTTTCCTAACTAGCCCTGTATGTGTCCTCTCTTGGTTACCAATTACCTGGAGCTGGGATATCATTTATTTATTTCCTCCTTTACCTTCTCTCTCAAAGTTGAAGACGATGGGCAGGTTCTCAGCCTACCTACATGGTGGACTTTAGGTAACATCTCTGTAACAACTGAGTTTGATCTTTAAATGTGCTTGGCTAAATGTCTGATCTGCAATACTTGTAATAGTTTAAAATTCAATAAATACATTTTTAACAGTTGCTCTGTGAAAGTGGAGTGTGTACAAAAACCTGCTATTCTGTTTTGGTCTTAGGACAAACCTGCTCCAGCCACAACTGTTGAAAACAGTTTTATTTTTATTTTCTCCAAACAATGTTTCCTCCCTCCCTCAGGCAATAAATAAAAAGGTAATTTCTAGAAAAAAAAAAAAAAAAAAAGAACAAAACCATACATATGTACATCAGCCACACAGGCATCTTGTGTGTTGAACTGGACTGAAGGGAAGGACAGAGGTAGGGTGGGAAATAAGGCTCCAGGTGGGTTGAAGATGAGGCATTTTCTAGGCTTGGACCAAAAGCTGCAGAAATGTTGCACAGGTGAGCGAGACGCTGGTCATGAGGTGGAGAAAGCTTGAAAATGCTGAACGGATGTCATCTCTGGGCCAGCCTGTCCTCCACCCAGCAGCTGCTCTCTTCCATTACAGCCCACCCGAGTTCCATCATTCATCTTTTGGAAGAGGAGCAGCAGTGGGATGGGTGGAGAAGAAACTGAACAAAAATAATCAAAAGGAGCCCAGACTGCTGCCCCCACCCCTTCTTTCTCATCTTAAAGCCACAGGAGATTAAACCTAGGCTTTGCAAAAACCAGTGATCCACAGAGGCAAGAAATGAGGCATTTCAGACTATATCTCCCCCTCCAAACCACCTCCCAACCACAGAGATTTGTCTCCCCCAATGGAATGGGCTCAGCTGATGACTTGGCAGGTGCCTGCCTGCTCCTGCCTTATCTCCCCAGCCACTGGCAGGGCTGAGGTTGAGTGCAGGCAGCCCCCTGCCACCCACACCTGCTGGCCCCATGGCCCTGCCTGCAGCTCTGCTTGTCACCCAGTCTACCTGCTGCTGAGGTGAGCAGCACACACCCCACACCCCCCCAGGTCTCTGTGTAAGGGGGAAGACTGCTGCACAATAAAAAGAGGCTGCGCTCCCTTTTCACCCTGGGTGAGTTAGGGGCAGAAACATGGGGAGAATGGGAGGTGTATCTTGTTTTAAAGAACAAGCCAGTAAAATATGGATGGAAACAGATGAAGACCAGGCACTTGAGGAAACCCAGTATACCATTTTGCTTCCTCCCCCAAAGAGCCTGGACAGTGTCAGGGTTTGTGGCTTTTACAACTTTCGTGCTTTCAAAACATGACAATAAAAAGCAAACAAACCAAGATGAGGTAAGAAATTTCCCTACGAAAAAGACGTCGAGTCCAGGGTGAATGGCAGTGTCCGGCACTATTGCTTAACATCACAGGGCTCCGTGCCCGTGTGCCCCCTCCACGCCTGGCACTATCTGCCTGGCTGGCCTCGGCCCCTGAGCTAACAGCTGGGCGACGTGGTGATGGGGCTGTGCAGGTATGGGAGGCTGCTGGGGGTGGCATGGACACCAACAGACACTGGGAAGCTGAAGACAAACTGAGAGGTGGGGGTGGAGGTGGCCTTGCCCCGCTCCCGCAGCGTCCCCGAGGGGCTGACAGCTTCCACTGCGTATGAGGTGGCCAACACCTGCGACTCAAACTGCAGCAGCTGCCCCATGAAGCTGAAGTTGGGGGAGATGATGCTCCGGCGCTGCTTGACAAACTCAAAGGCCTCCTCTAGCTTGACTCGCTTCTTCATCATCAGGTAAGCCAAGCAGATGGTGGCTGAGCGGGAGATACCAGCCTGGCAGTGGACCAGGACCCGGCCACAACACTCCTTCACTGAGTCTGGAGGGCAACAGGGAAGAGACATGAGACTGACACCCAAAAAAAAGCCAAAACCCTCACCAAACCTGCATGTGGGTGGCTGACCTCCCTCCCACCAGTGTGAATAATGGCCTAGACCCTGCCAGGCACCAGTCCCCTCTGAGTCCAAG